TAAAATTGGAAAATGAAAGAAAATTTTTGGTAAAACAAAAATAAATTTTAAATATTTTTTGAATTTATAGACTGAAGCAGCACTTGAAGTAATACCTTCAAATATTAAAAAGTATCCTCTCAAAATTACAATTTCAATGTTTAAATCAACTATTTATGGATGGGTAATATTTATTTTAAAAATAATCACAGTCAAACCCCATTTTTTGAATAACACCAAAGGTCCTCAATAGGGTTGCAGTTTTTGATTCGAGCTGTCGTTCGATGCATATTTTTCGAGCTTGGTTTTTTTCGATTCGGTTCGTTCTCGAGCTTTTCGAGCTGAAAAGCCTAGGCTCGCTCGATCTTTCGAGTTCCGGATTGAGCGAGCTGGCAACCCTAATCCTCAACTTTATTATCCTTTTAAGAGCGATTTTTCCTTATAATTTTGTTATAAAAAATGAGGGCTGGCAGTGGTTTAATTAATATATTTTATTATGCTCTAAATAGAAGATTTTTAGCGCCCTGAATCTCGTATACTAATTTCTGGTTCATATTTATTTAAATCTCTCATGCCTGACTCAGATATTGATATGGTTGTATTGTTGCCAACTTACGACAAAATTAATGAAATTAATTTACAATATACACATAATCTAGTTTTTGATGAAGATAATAATTCGTTATATAATATTCTTAGAGGGGTATTTATTTAAATAATTTAAAGTTGAAACTCGTTTTTGGATACCCAAACTGTAGATATCCGTTAATTAATGCTAATGTGTATTCGACTGTCTAAAGCTAAATTTGATCGTTCTTAGAGATAGGACTTGGATTTTAGACATAATTCTGCACCTAAGTCCGTGTACCTGCTTCTCTATATGGATATCGTTTCATGATATCCAATGAGTAAAATAAACGGAATAGCTGATAAACAGAATTTTCCTTAACGGAATTTTCAGTTATCGACTAAAGTTTTTTCATTTATCAACCATAAGAATATTTTTCAATCTGAATTATCCATTGATTGCCCAAAAATCTAATTCAGGATGCGTTTTTTAGTTTGCTTGTTTAATATAGGTATGAGGAAGAGAGAAGAGCCTTAGCAACCCAAGTTATTGTACCCCCCATCATACTTGCGATTCTTTTAATCAAAGAATGCTTATCTAAAAATGAGTTTCTACTTAATTTAAATTAAAAAAAATTAATTTTAATTTAAAAACAGTTGGAAGGTGTCAACTCGCTATTTAAAATTGGAGGTCGAGTACCTTTACTAAAGCTTAAATATTTTGGTTATGATTTTGATCTACTTTTTGTTAGAGTTCCATGTCTCCAAACAAATGAAAATTCTACGTTTTTAGAAAGAAAATATAAGGAAAATTTTAATTTAGAAGACACCGATAAACTTATCAATCAAATTATTTTTAATCTTAAAACAAGATATATAGAAGATATTCGTTCAGTTATATTACCACTTTCCGGTTATATTAATTATACAGTCGGCCCTTAATACCTAGATAATATCCAAATATATAGAAGATACTATTCGTATTAGGCTTTTTATTTAAATTCAGTAGACATCTGTACTAAGATGAATGTACCAAGATTCGTAATCCTGCTGTACTTATATTTGGCACAGAGTGTTAGTAAGAGCAAAAATAGAAATGTTAACAAGTACGAGTATTAGGACAAAATAAGAACTGGCAATTTTAACTACATGGAATAGGAGAGCTGCCTAAGTTATACCCCACCCCCCAATTATAAGACGCATGTATCCTTCCAGTAAGCTCCGACTATAAATTGATTTAGAAAGTCATAATTATTTTATTTAAAGGTTATCGCTCTAATCTTTATATTTCAAAATTAATGGATGAAGATTTTAATATCTTCAGGACACTTCTTTTTGTCTTAAAAATTTGGGCTAAAAGTTTGTAGCTTTTATTTTTGGATTAAAAAAATTTATAAATTCAAGAGCATTTTATATATAGTGGACAGTTTGGATTTTTCAATGGAACAAATTTAGCTGTGTTGGCTTGCAAAACAATTTTGTTAAATAATACGAACAAACAACTTTCTATTGTTCAACTATTAGAGCAATTTTTTATCACATATTCGAAATGGTTAGATAAGGAGCTTTATTTTTTGTTTTTGGATGATCGAAATTCTAAAATAGAGCTTCTGGTTTAAGTAAAGCCTTCCGCTTAAGTAAATCACATGCTCAAATCGAATTATTGAAATTCTAGCATATAGTTATGTTAAGATAAGATAATCAAATACGAGTGATGTTCGAGACTCTCAGTCTCGGCTCTCGGTTTGGTCTCGGGTCAACTCTCGACTCTCGGGTTTTTTAACTTTCGAACATTACTATAAAATACAATGCTACTTGGCAGAAATTTCAAGTATGCCTAACATATATGAAGACAGGTATAATATACTTAGTTTAAACCAAACTCTTCGTTTAATTTCGCTGGTAATATTGGATAAGATTCTTATCTTACCATACTTATATGCTCAAATAATCACCCTGTGTAATTGTTCTAATATCTTGCTGAAGTTTGTGAATAATCTAGGAGCAATTATTTTAGGGTATCATTATTTAATCATATATGGTTGGTTACGTTCTTAAGAAATATCCTAATAACTTTTAACTAAGTATATACATTATTTATCAGGAATTGGTCAAATCCTATAGTATTGGAACAAATAGATTGGAACAACAATCCTTTAGATGATCAATATTCTAAAAATCAAGATTTTATCAAAATTAAAAACTCCCTAGATTGGGATATTAATTCTGATTACAATAGTCGTCGCCAATTGTTTGGTCTTAATTACTTTACTGTTTATGATGAAAACATAAGACGATTAGAAAAACATGCTGAGCTCATATGGCCAATTATTGCCCCAGGCATTCCCACACAAAATGCCGGATTTAATATAAACTTTTCAACCTCGAAAATTTTACTTGGAGAAATGAGGAATGGTGAATATTTTTTTTATTTTAAATTCTAGATATCGTTAATTACATTTAAATTAAGCACCATCTCTCGATGTTGCAATATTGACGAGTATTTCGTAGACGATTACCTCAATCATAGCTCTTGAGTGTTCGAAACCTTTCGAGGATTTTGATAGAGTATTAATAATAAGATAAAGTAACGATTCACTCAAATAATTTTCCATTTATGTGGAATAATAACTGCAAAATTAGACATTTCTCGAAGAAAATATTATTATTTTATTTTTTTTATTTTAAGTTAAAAATAAATATATGTAGGTATATTAATAATCAATCCTAAGATATTAAAAATTATTTGGTAAAAAATTATTATAGTTTTCCTCTTAATTAAGCTTCTCCATCATTAAAAGATGTTCAAAATGTCATAAAATATTACACTAGTAAAAAGAGAAAAAGTAGAAAAGATAAAATTATCGTAAAAAATACATGGATAAACTGGCTAGATGGAGGTCCTTTCGAGGAAAAGGTTTTTTAATGTTTAATTTTTGAAAATTTTATTTTACAAGTATGAACACTTTATGGCAATTACTTCAATAAATCTAAATCCAAATATTTCGAATAATCAAATTTTTGAAGAATTTAACAATTTTGTAGAAACCCGAATTAGATTAGGACTTGTATTTAATATTGAAAATATTTTTGAAATTGATTATTGTCATGCAAAGCCTGGAAGAGTTTGGAATAATGAAAAGTGCCCTTCAATAATTATTAAAAATAATATTATTAATGAAAAAATAACAAATATAAATAATGAGTAGGTTCTTGACTTGTTTAGAATTTTATAGAATATATCGAACCTTATTATAAGTTACTTCAAATAATGAATACATACATATATGTAAGAAATAATTAACCTTATAATTAGGGATTTACTTCTATCAAGTTAAGTAATGAGCTTTCTGAGACAAAAGCAGAAAATTTAAATAATTTTATCTGTGTATGAGAAAGATTTTTTGTACTCTCTGACATGCCAAAAAACTTTTAATTAAGTCAGTTGTCATTTAGGATCGAGGAACTCTTATTTCTTCGACTCTCATTATACAGTAGGATTTATAGCCTTAGGGGTATATCTAAAAATCAGGTTTCATCGTATTTAAACTTTAATTTAATTCAAAAGGAATACTCCGAGTAATTGGCTATGTACAATTTGGATAGTCGGCATTAAAATGACTTCAATTACAAGATTATCTTCCCTAATTTTTATTTCCTCTTTTAATCACTTTGAAGAATTTGCAAATAAAATTAAACAAAAATATATTTTGCCTGAAGAAGAAAGAAAAAATATTCAATTATTTGCTAATTATTGGCTAAAGAGTCAACTTAAATCAGAATTAAGAACATAATTAAATCAGAATTAAGAACATAAATATTTTGCTTTATAAAACTTTTGTTTATTTATAAACTCCGTCAACTTTATTATTATTTTTGTACGTCTTAGGTTTTTACTGTTTTACACAAACAATTACTATTAGCATATGTATACCCCCGGTTTTCGGTTAATCCGGGTTTAAAAAAGAGGTTGGGTTACGAGTTTTAGATTTATTTTGTATGAATTTTAATAACGAGCTGAGTCAAATTACACCAAAATCAACAAAATCCAACTTGATTGGAAAAAGTTATGATTGTTTGTTTTAGCTCCATACCTATGGTCTCCATGTTGGTTTTGCTGCGGAGAATGCCAGGCATGCCCACCGACGAGAAATTAAAAATAGGCTTTTATTACCCTATATATGGCATTTTGAGCATTAATTTAGGGGGTGTTCACCTTGTACACCAAATTTTAGAAAATTATGTATTATTTTTAACTAATTTAAAATTAATCTCTGAACATTGCTTTGCTCAAAATACCTATATAAAAATGTTACTTTAAAATTAATTTAATTGCATTAAAGAAAATTATCAAATAGATCAATCATTAATATTTTTTATAAGAAAAATTTCTTTATTTATTTAATAAAAGTTGTCCATTAATATTTAATTAAATAAAATATTTAAAAAATAAAATGTTTGCTGCAATTATTTTATTATTTATAATTTTATTTTTTTATTGGAATTTTATTTATAAACGTCAAGGCCTTCCACCTGGCCCTATACCACTTCCATTCTTTGGAAATACTTTAACACTTTCACGGTAAACTTAAAAAAACATTTAGATGGTTTTGTGAATAACAGTTTAGCCAGAGTAAGATCAGAAGAAGGAGAAACTGAGACTTAAACTGACAATAACACTAATTTTAATACTGTCATAAGTAGGGAGTGTCAAAACATGCAAATGCGTATTTTGCATACGGATATGCCATGAGCTGTAACACTCAAAAATGCATCGGTTCGAGCACTTTAGGACCCGGTTCTTAATGCATATTTTTGCATATTTCGGTACTTTCATGCATATTTGCATATATGTGCATTTTTTGGTCAATTTTTTGCTAAATTTTGCCAAGAATAGTCATAAGTCTATTATTTATTTTTCATTAATTTTTTGTTTAATTTAAAATAAAAATTTAAAATAAAAGTCGGAATAATAATAATTTTCAGTCAAAATAATAATAATTTCAAAAAAAATTTTTTAAGTTCAAAATGTGCTTATTTGCCTTACAAATTATGGGCCGACAAATATGGCCCAATATATACATTTTGGATGGGTGAATGTCCAATAGTTACAGTAACTGATTATTCTTTAATGAATGAATTGTTTGTCAAAAATGGTGATGCTTTTGTTGGCAGGGATTTTCTTAATCATTTAAGCAAATTAGTCGAAGGTAAATATTCCTTAAATATCTTATAGAACCTCTTGTAATTAATAAAAGTCCACTCTATGGGATTAATTGAAGAATAAACTCCGCTTCTGAGATGCTATTAGTGTCGAACTTCATTCACCATAGGAACTGAAAAAATGGTAGAAACAAATAAAGAATATCCTATATAGGGATATCGCTTAGGTAACCCTCCCCCACTCTTTTCCTCCCCAATCACAGAGGTGAGTCGGAAATCCGATTTCTGACGTTTTTTTCCTTCCGATTTCCGAAAAAAAATTTTGATTTCCGATTTCAGAGTTCCGACTTTTAGCCAGTTCCGATTTCCGGCTCTTCCGATTTCCGACACCTCTGACTGTTCCGACCCACTCTCTCCCACGTCCTCTCAGTAGCCAACCAATTTTTATAAGTCACCCATAAATTGAGGTATCTTAGTGAGTTTTTTTTATGATAAAATCTGACTAGTAATTATTTGCAAATAATAAAAAATAAATTAAAAATTTATTAAAAAGTACACACTGGCAACCACGGAGTTATTCAAACACAGGGAGACACTTGGAGAGTAATGCGTCGTTTTGGTCTCCTTTCAATGAGAACTTTAGGTGTTGGAAAGGCTGGGATGGAAAAACAAGTAATATAAATTTAAAAAAATTGTACAATTTATTTCTTTTAAAGTTTAAAGAAGATATAAATGAAATGATTAATAAATTGAGTAACCAAGTTTTATTAAATAATGGAGAAAATATAAATCTTCAATTATATATTGACAGATTAATTGGTTCTACAATTAATAGAGTTTTGTTTGGATTTGCTTTTAATGATGTGAGAAAATTATTTTAATTTAAAATTTTAGCTTTAATCTAGTGCTGGATAGTCCAGTGCTGGCTGAGACTATCTCAGAGCCTGCTCCGCTCGAAGATTAATCTTATAAATACCTGATGCCTGAGCTAAGATTTAAAAATAATCGGAACCGGAGTACAGTATAATTCTGTGCAATTTATCCATTCACATGACAGAATGGCCATAGTCAAAACGTCATAGTTAAGAAAAACAATTTTTAATTTATATTAATTTGTTCGAAAAATAGGTTGACTGGATACTAGCCAGAACCAGTTCTGTTTGTTCATTTTAGTCTGAACTAGCATTCATCCTTTAGTCTAGGTTTAAAGAGGTTTTATTTTTAACTCTCGATTTTGCAAAAGATCCTCAGAATTTTCTTAGATTTTATCCTCAGAATTTGTCTGTTCTTTCCAAAAATTCTTTCACTTTTCACTTTACTCGGCAAACTCTAAGCAAGATTAGGGTGCAACACGGGAGGAATCATGTAAAGGGTTTTTAAGCAACAAACGTAATTAGCCTGTAAAATTAAGGGAATTAACTTAAATTTTAATTAAAGAATCAAATGGACGAATTTAATGAAATAAAATCAACATTTGACAAGGCCAGTCGTTGGCAATTTAGTTTTTGTGGGCGATTACTAGTTGCTGCTCCAATACTTCGTCATTTACCTTTCTTTTACCAATCTTTTGTTGAATTTTCTGAATTACCATTACCAATATATAAATATTTAAATAAACAAATTGGAAATAGAATTGAAATAAGAAATTTAAAAAATGAGAAGAAGGAACCAAGAGATTTGTTGGATTGTTATTTGGACCAAATGGAGAGTGATGAAGCTGATGAAGAATTTAAGTGAGTAAAAAAGTAAATTTTTGATTTCCTTTACTGTGCAAAACTAAAAGGGCGCTCCATATGTCTCTATTTTAGAGATATAAATATGAAAAGTTTAGATAATTTCCGTTAAAGTTTGACTACATAGTAGAGCTTCGCCTGAACCTGAAATTTGGCCGGAACCGGAAGCAAAAAAAATTCCGAAACTTCCGGCCTACCGGAACCGGAACCGGGGCTTCCGGCGTGTCTCTACTACATAGACAACAAAAAGCTCAACATCCTACTATTCCCTTCTAAACTATTATAAGCTAACTTAACTCACATTCACGTGTATACAAAGGAAATTAACGAAAATTCTGAATTTGCTACGATTATTTGTTGTAAAGTTCCACAAAGTCGTAAATGAAGATAAGCTGAATTCACATTGTATTTTCGAAAATCTGAGTTTGTTATCAGGTGATCTCTGGTATATTTTCCAAAATACTATATCACCATCAAACGTCTTAATCATAATAACCTATTTTTCAATTAGACCTTACCTATACTTGAATAGGTAAATAAAAATATAAATGTGTATTTTCTTGTACCAAATAAAGGGTTATTATTAGCTATTTAGTTATTTCCTAACAGAAAAATAAAAATTACGATTAATTATTAATTTTTAACAAAAGCATGGACAATTTTCGAGCATTATGCTACGATCTTTTATTGGCTGGACAAGAGACTACTGGAAATACTTTAAGCTTTCTAGTTTTGTATTTATTGTTGGACCAAAGGGTTCAATCGAAATTGCAAGCAGAATTGGATAATTTAGTAGAAGGAAATGAAGAATTAATTGGGTTGTCACAACGACCACAAGCAAACTATACAAATGCTGTTATTAATGTAAAAATTATTAGCTTTTTAGTAAAATTAGGACATAAACCTGGATGGGGTTTTAGAGGGACAACTTAAACACAGGGTATCGTTTAAAAATTTGGGATAAGTTAGTTTTTAAAGGCCTAGGAGGGTTGTAGCTTATTAAAATTGTCGCTTATTAGGAGGGACAACTTACTCATCGCCTAGGAGGGAATAAAGATCTTTAAGATATTAAGCTTATTCATTGTTAAGTCAGACTTTGTAAGAAATTATATAAACTTATCATCTTTATATCTCTAAAATAGAACCATAGGTACTAAATTTGGGTTATCTAGTATTGAGTTTATTTTATAATGAAGTCATAGTGTAATCCTTTTGTTCCAAATCATATTTTTTGATAAAATAGGACTGTCAAGGTTCTGTCCTTAAAATCTTGCACTACTCTATGATAATCCAATTTTTAGAACTCTAGTGAGTCAAATTGCCGTCTTAAACATGGAGAATTTTATACTTTAAGACATCAATATTTTTATTTTCTTTATTTTCAAGGAGTTTAAATATTTTTTGCCAAAATCCAAAAATTTTATATTTTTTAATTTAATTATTTTTAAGGAAGTTCAACGTCTTTGCAATTTATTACCATTAAATTTATCACACAAAACAATGTTTGATGTAGGGATAATGGATGGAAAATATTTTCTTAAAGAAGGAACTGTAATTTTACCTCAAATAAGCTGTTTATTATATGATGAAAAAGTTAATGAAAAATTTAATTTTAAAAAGTTTTTAAATTCAATATTTAGGTATTCCCCAACCCTCATCTTTTTATTCCTGAAAGATTTTTAGATGATAAAGGACAACTAAAAAGATTTGATTCGTTTATACCTTTCGGATTGGGGAAAAGGTAAAAAATATTTTCTTTAATAAAAAAAATAAAATAAATTTAACTAATTTTAAATTCAAAAAATTGTTTTTGGGTTTACTTTCGAAAAATCGAAAAGTTTTAGTCCGTGGTGCTAAATGAAATTTATTCTGTTGTATTTCTAAAGAATTTTCTACTTAAACAAAGAAATTTACTTTTTTTATTTGAAAAGTCATTTCTTAGAAACCTATCATAAAAGGGTAGAGGGTGTCCGACTGATCGCTTAATTTTTTCGTGTCAGGACAGTTCACAAAAAAACAATTCACCAAACGTCAGTTCACCATAAGGCAATTCACAAAAAAACAGTTCACAACATGGGGTAATTCACAATAAGTCGATTCACCATATGGACAATTCACCATATGGGAAAAATTGACAATTCACCATATGTGCTAAATCTTATCTAAAATCAACCAGATGAGTGATCAGCCGGTGGAGTGATCACTCTCCAGAAGAGTGGAGAGTGATCAACCTGGAGAGTTCAAAAGAAGCTTGATCAACCAGTATGATCAACCTGGAGAATGATCAACAAGGAGATCAATCAAATGATATATATAATTACTCCACCGGCTGATTACTTCTGGCTGATCACTCCATGGTTGATCACTCCACCGGCTGATCACTCCTTTGGTTGATCATTTCTTTTGCAGATCACTTCCCCGGTTGATCAATCCAACGGTTGATCACTCTACTGGCTGACACCTTGTTGATCACTCCATTGATGATCACTCACCGGTTGATCACTTCATTTCTCGGCTGATCACTCACCGTGTCCATCAATTTTCCGGCTGATTAACCACCATGTTGATCAATTCACTGCTGATCACTCCTTTTTATCGCGGCTGATCACTTCCTCGGCTGATTTAGATAAGATTTAGCACATATGGTGAATTGTCAATTTCTCCCATATGGTGAATTGTCCATATGGTGAATCGACTTATTGTGAATTACCCCATGTTGTGAACTGTTTTTTTGTGAACTGCCTTATGGTGAACTGACGTTTGGTGAACTGTTTTTTTGTGAACTGCACTAGACCCTAATTTTTTAAGAAAGGGAGGTATTTGTTCAATTATTTGTTCAAAATAATTTTTACAAAAATTAGACAAAATTTTTTCGAATTATCCCATCAAAAGAAAAGTTTACAGAAATACTTAACTCAAAAACCCCCATTAAGTTTCGAACTTTAAATAAATAAATATAAGTACATATTGAACAGAGCTTGTATGGGAGAATCATTGGCACGTGCCGAACTATTTTTATTTACTGCTAGTTTCTTTCGGACTTTCCAAGTAATTAAAAACTAAATAAATAATCTAATTAAAAACAATTTATTTAGGTACTTCCGGTTGATCCATTAAATCCACCAGCTGCACAAAAGCAGAAGGCTTTTGTAGTTCGCCCAGACCCTTACAAATGTCGATTAATTTTAAGAAAATAAAAAACTGTTTTACTAGATTTTTTGAAGCGTTTTAGAAATCTTAAAGTTTTTATGAAAAAATAAATAAAACTTTTCTCGTGTATTATTTTAAAATAATTATAATTAATTTGGAACCGAACTGAAAAACATGATTTTTCTGTTTAATTCACTTATTAAGTTTACGTCTGAAATTTTATAAACTTTCGAGAGCAATGGTAAAATTTAACAGATATTTGGAGAGATTCGGCATCTGTATAATTTGTGATACATGTTGTGACAAAAAAATAATTTAATCAAAATAAAAAGTATGCGACTACGGATTAAGATTTAAATTTTTTATTTAAGCAAAAATTAATTTTTATTTTAACCTAATAGAACAAATTTCGAGTGATGATGAGTATGATCTGATGATGAGTGATGTGATAATGATAATAATATGATCTCGAGTGATCAACCTGATTATGATCGTTTCGACCCGCGCCGTTTTGGGCTGTACCCGCACTAGTAGGAACACCAAAATGTCTCTGACGAACATTTTGAAAGAAGGAAGAAGCCATACATACAGTGGTGGTCCTATCTTCTTTTAGGCTATCAGGCGAAGATTTAGAAAATTTTGGAAGGCTAATAAAAAGATCTTTATTTCTCTCTCGAGCGCTGAAGGTGAAAATTTCGAAAAGGTTGGAATTTTTTTACGTCACAAGCGAAAATTTTGAGATGGCTTAAACCAAATCATAATTTAATACCTAAAAAACACTAAAAAATTTTTTAAAATTTATTTAACCTCAAAAATAACTTCCAAAGAACAAATTTTTTTAATTTGGAAGTAAATATATAAATATAATTTAAATAAAATATTTTAAAACGGAATGTCCAAATACAAATTTGTATAAAGTAAAAAATTTTTGAGGATACAAAACTGGGATAAATAAATCAAAGATGAAAAATTTGACAACAATGAAAAAAATCATGCGACATTACAAGGATAAAGGCAATGAATTAACATATAATTTAGAAAAATATGAGCCGAACCTCATTTTTGATATCCCTAAAACATTATAATATGTAGTATTTTGATATCCCTAAAACATTATAATATGTAGTATAAATTACTCCGTCAAAATAACCATCCTCACTATTCTATATCCCCATGGGGAAGAAAAAAGTATTTTGTTATGAGCGTTTAACCTAAATTGGGAGTATTTATTAGCAGCTTAGAAACCGTGGTCAACCAAATAAAAAAATTTTAAATCAAAGTGTGTCATTCTAGCCCGTTGACCTACGTCTGACACTTCGGCTTCTATGGGTCCCTAAAACATTATAATAGGTAGTATAAATTACTCCGTCAAAATAACCATCCTCACTATTCTGTGTGTCCTCGGTAGGAAGATGTTCTCCATGATGGTTGTGTTAAAAATAAAATAAAAATGGAAAATAAAATAATAGAATGTGGCATCCTCCAGCTTTAGAAACAATAATTCTCCATCTAAACAAAAGAGTGATGGAAGGATAATTGTTTCAAAGAAAGAGGACACGTTTTGTTATTTATTTTTTCTTTTCTAATTTTATTTTTTAGCAAAACCATCCAAAAAACCAACCTCCACGACCTGATGACTCCCAAACGGATTCTGGTGGGAATGATGGGGTTACGTTTTCTACAATTTTTAATAATGATTACTAATATTAATTTAATATTTCAGGGAGGACTATAAAGCCGAAGTGTTGGACGTCAATCAACCCAAGAGAAAAAAATACCGATGATTGATCACCACTCGGAGCGGCGCCAGCGCCACCCCGAGCTACGGCTGCGTTGCCGCCACCAATACTGGCGCCACTCGAGGTGACGCCAGCGCCGCTCGAGCGGCTATCCAAATGCCGACTACGTGGACCGGACTAAAATTATAAAATTTATTTCGATTAGCAATTTTTTAGTTATTTAAAGTTAAAAAAACTAAATACATCATTATCATCATTGCTATCCAACTGCGTATTGTCATCGTTATTACCGTCGTCGTGATGAGACTAAAAATTAAAATGAAATTAAAAAAATATACTTTAAATTACGTGTGGTATGGCCCTCGAAACTCGAACACGATTGTCTGCAAGAAAGAATACTCTTAATTCTTAATACTTAAATACTCTTAATTGTCTGCAAGAAAGAATACTCTTAATTCTTTCTTGCAGACAATTAAGAGTATTTAAGTATTAAGAATTAAGAGTATTCTTTCTTGCAGACAATTAAGAGTATTTAAGTATTAAGAATTAAGAGTATTCTTTCTTGCAGACAATCGTGTTCGAGTTTCGAGGGCCATACCACACGTAATTTAAAGTATATTTTTTTAATTTCATTTTAATTTTTAGTCTCATCACGACGACGGTAATAACGATGACAATACGCAGTTGGATAGCAATGATGATAATGATGTATTTAGTTTTTTTAACTTTAAATAACTAAAAAATTGCTAATCGAAATAAATTTTATAATTTTAGTCCGGTCCACGTAGTCGGCATTCGGATAGCCGCTCGAGCGGCGCTGGCGTCACCTCGAGTGGCGCCAGTATTGGTGGCGGCAACGCAGCCGTAGCTCGGGGTGGCGCTGGCGCCGCTCCGAGTGGTGATCAATCATCGGTATTTTTTTCTCTTGGGTTGATTGACGTCCAACACTTCGGCTTTATAGTCCTCCCTGAAATATTAAATTAATATTAGTAATCATTATTAAAAATTGTAGAAAACGTAACCCCATCATTCCCACCAGAATCCGTTTGGGAGTCATCAGGTCGTGGAGGTTGGTTTTTTGGATGGTTTTGCTAAAAAATAAAATTAGAAAAGAAAAAATAAATAACAAAACGTGTCCTCTTTCTTTGAAACAATTATCCTTCCATCACTCTTTTGTTTAGATGGAGAATTATTGTTTCTAAAGCTGGAGGATGCCACATTCTATTATTTTATTTTCCATTTTTATTTTATTTTTAACACAACCATCATGGAGAACATCTTCCTACCGAGGACACACAGAATAGTGAGGATGGTTATTTTGACGGAGTAATTTATACTACATATTATAATGTTTTAGGGACCCATAGAAGCCGAAGTGTCAGACGTAGGTCAACGGGCTAGAATGACACACTTTGATTTAAAATTTTTTTATTTGGTTGACCACGGTTTCTAAGCTGCTAATAAATACTCCCAATATACTCTCTAGCTCAAGTGTGTTCCTAAAAATTATTTCCTTATTCCGGTGTATCTAAAAATGAGGTTAGACTGTAATATAATAAAGTCATCTAATATGCTTCGATCCAGAATGTGCTGTTGCAGCCAAATTTCGATTTGAATTAGAAACTGTACGAATTTTACGTTGTGAAGGCCCTCTTGATAAATCCACCACTGAATTGAATCCTTGAGATTTATGTGCAATGCAAAGAATTTGATTAAGACAATCTAGCAGAGGCTAAAATAATAATAAATTAATAAATATTAAAAAAATGTTTTTGAAAGAAACTAGAAAAAAGTTTAAACGGTTATTTCCTCAAAAGGATATTTAATCAAACAAATTCGAAAAAAAAGATTAAACAAAATAGTATTCTATTAAAAACTTTTTATTACCTCATCATGTTTCTTGTTTTGACCAAATGTAAGTGAACGAACTACCAAATCCATTATGCGACAGCGAAGACGAATAACCCGTTGTAATGTATTGAATTTGCCTCGAAACCCAAACCATTTGTCAAGCTGTAGAAATTCATCGTCTTGAAGAGAATGAGGCAGGTCCTCATCTTTAAGATCACCTCAAAAGAAAATATTATTTTAAGAAAAAAAATAAATTTATTCAAACCAGTATCGTGTTCATCCAGATGAATAATAATATTCCGTTCATTCCACAAACGCCTTTCATTTTCTTGTTGTTCTTTCCATTTTGCAATTTTCTCTTCACGAATTAATTGCCGTTTTCGTTGAAGATCGCCACTTGTATCAACTAATATAGAAAATACTAAAAATATATTCAACCCCAAAATAAAGTAGGACCTAACTTTTACATTCCCGTTGGAGCTGAAAAATCGTCCCTAATCGTTTATTCATATTTGGGAGTACAGTTACGAAAGCTCCTCCCAACTAAAAAGCTTAACCCCATTAAAGACCAACCAACCATTAAAAATTCAGCAAAACATTTACACAATTGGTATCAATAATATTTAATAAAAAAATATATACCAATTTCAAAATATGCCAAAGCTTCCGCTGCCATTCGAATTGGACCCGCAAATAATAAAACAGCAATTTGAGGAACTGCTGTAACAATTTTGATTGAATGTTGAGTCATAATACTATCATCTTTTGCAATTGCTTCGTGAAATACAAAATATTCTGGTTCAATTTTCTTTGAATTATTTGATGAGGTATTCGTAATTGTTGTTAATTGCTTTTTTAATGAGGAACTAGCGTGAAAAATTGATGATTTTCCAACACTGAAAAAAAATTTTTAAATAATAATAAATTAACGAAGACTTAGATTTTTAATTCCTTTTAATTTACTTTTCAGAAATTCAGTAAAAAATCCAAAAAATTAAAGTTAAAAAAGTAATAAAATTAATAAAAAATTTACTGTGAACGAATCCTATTAAATTTGTTGCCTCTTTGCACAAAACTATAAAATGAAAACATTTTTATATGAAAAATAATTATTTTCTAGTTAATACCCAATATTCGGATAAGATCCAGCAACAATTACTGCTTGTACCATTGGCCAACTATCAGAATATTTATTTAAAGACGAGTCATCTTCTGCTCTAAATATATCATCTGGGACTAAATGACATCGTCTAAGTTCATAAATTAATTGTTTTCTAAAATTTTTTAGTAAAAAAATTTTTTGTAAAAAATTTAAACTTTATTCCATGAATCATCCTCATTGCTTGTTCGCTAACCAAATATTGGTCACAAAATTTTTCTTTTAAATATTGAGTTGGTTCTGATTCATAAGCATTAAATAGGCGAATTAACATTAGATGATCACTCAAATCATTTTTACAAAGTTTGTCACGAGCAATTAAGGCATCTCGTTTTTTGTTGTCGTCGCTTCCAATTGTCAATAAAACTTTAAAAAAATTTTTAATAAAAAAATTCTAGTAGGATATTCTAAACAATTCATTTGAAGTTCTGTTTGGCTGTACTTTAGTACGTGGGTCCCGGAGTTAATATACAAATGTTATACCATTCGAAAGAGCTAGTCGAGCTGAGTCTAATACCACCAGTTTTAGCCCGAGGAAAAATTTTTGGACCGAGATATAGGTCCCCGAAATTTGAAAAAGCATAGGGGGGACCAAGCACTTTTTTGGGGTAAAAAATTCGAAAATGCAAATGATACCTCATTCGAAAGAGCTCCTCGAGCTGAGTCGAATGACACCAAAATCAACGAAATCCGACTTGATTGGACAAAGTTATGATTTTTTATTTTAGCTCCTTACCTATGGCATCTGCGGAGATTTTTGCTGCTACTGAGGCCCCAAATACGTCCAGATCAAGGGAGATAGGAATAGGTTTATGTTACGAGCCCAGACCCAGCACCCGTAGACTCCCCGCGAGGCGCGTGCTGCAAAACCCCGCGCGAAGCGCGGGGTTTTGCACAAGCGCTTCGCCGACGCCCCATAGGTTTAGGTTTTTTGTATGATAACTTTGTCTAATCTTGTTCAATCACGGTGATTTTGGTGTCATTCGACTCAGCTTGTCGAGCTCTTTCGAATGAGGTATAATTTTCATTTTCGAATTTTTTGACCCAAAAAATTTTCAAAATTCGGAGGTCTGTAACTCGGCCAAATAAAGTCAGATTTCGTTGATTTTGGTGTCATTCGACTCAGCTCGAGGAGCTCTTTCGAATGAGGTATCATTTGCATTTTCGAATTTTTCACCCCAAAAAAGTGCTTGGTCCCCCCTATGCTTTTTCAAATTTCGGGGACCTATATCTCGGTCCAAAAATTTTTCCTCGGGCTAAAACTGGTGGCATTCGACTCATCTCGACTAGCTCTTTCGAATGGTATAACATTTGTATATTAACTCCGGGACCCACGTACTAAAGTGACCCCTTCTGTTTTTATAAGGGCGTAGCCAGGGGGTGCTTCTTGGGCTAAAGCCCCTCCCACGAAATGGGGAAAATAGAAAAATTTGAGGGGATTTTTGAAGAAAAACTTATTTAACACTAATGCTTACAATAAAATGAAATTGGAAATGAAATTTAAAAAACAAAAACCCCCAAAAAAATAATTGCCGATCTTATAAATATCGACATGTGATAATAAGCAATGAAACAAAAGCTTATTTTTTGAAATCATAATGATGAAAAAAATTCTAGAGAAAAAAGAAACTAACATGGATCACGATATGATATGGCAGCAACAAGAGTAGTAATTGGGTTCAAACATTTAAAAGAAAGTCCAAAAAGCAGCAACCTACAAAACTTTTTTAATAATATTTTGGAAAACAGAAAAGAAACCTGGCTAATTTTGGGTCCAAAGGCAAATGTGTTATAATCTTTCCAATTTCAGTAATGTCAGCTTCTTTCTGAATATCATTTAATGCATCTTCAAAATTATATTGAGTACAACTTCTTGGTGAAATATTGCTGGAACGGCTCATTTTCTAAATTTGTAAAATTAAAATTTTAATTGAAAAAATATTTTCTATTTAAATGAGACCTCATCCTTAGACATCTTAGCCCTACAAAATGACTTTTTAGATCGATTACCTGGTAGAGAGTCCCTCGATTACGATGGTTTGTATTACGTTGCGTAGGAGAATAATTATAATCCCCAAAGCCATCTGATGGAGTATTGAAGTCATCCCAGCTTTGTGGCGATTGGAGGGCACCAAGAAGCTTAAAAATTAATTTAAAAAAATTTAGAATTAAATTAAAAACCTCAAGAAATAACATGCTTTGATCCACAATAAATTCATCAGGTGGATCCGGTGCTTGTCTCAAAAATTCTTGAACAGTCAAACCACCAGGCGCAGACATTTTTGCATGCAAACAAACTTCCTTTAAAACGATTTTTAAAAAATTTTTAATAATTAAATAAACATGAATAGCAGTTCGTTTAATTTCAGGTAATTGTGATGGCTCCATTTTGTTATAATCTTCCAAAGTATATAGGCGAAAACAATAACCAGATTGGCAACGACCAGCACGACCTATGAAAGTTTATTATTAAAAATTAAAAAAGAGCCGTCCCCTATTTCTATTCTAGTAATAATAGACCTTTCCTTTTTCAATCCTATAAAAATTTAGACCCTCAAACGTTAAATAAAAAATCTCGCTAATTATGTCTGCATCGAATAATAAATCGAAAATAAAAAATTTTTAAACCTTTTCTTTGTTCAGCACTTGATTGTGAAATCCAACAACAATTAAGGCGGGCAACATGAGTTGAAGAATCATAAGATTTCTCTTTTGCTTTTCCACTATCGATTACAAATACAACATCATCCTAAATATCTTTGTAGACTTAGGAATGAACATAAATAAACTTACAACAGTAAGACTAGCTTCAGCAATATTGGTACTCAAAATCTTCAAAAAAGAATTAAATTTAAATTGCTGTAAATCTAGTTTAGTACATACCACTTTACGTTGTCCATCTTTAACACGATCAAACACTAAAGGAAAAAAAATTAAAGAAATAACGATAAAAATAAAAATAAGAAGCCTGCCCCCTTTAGCTTCTTTTATTTTTAAATTTATTAATCACCCCATGAGAATTCTTAATGTCATTAAAGTACAAGCTAAACGACTTAAAGAGAAGTATAAAAATCCTTTTTGGTCTCCTATACCCTGATTAAGCAAAATATTTTACAAACCTTTCTGCTGTGCATTCATATTAATTTGAGAATGAAGAGTAAAAACAACAGGTTCGCAGTTAAATTTTCCTTCTTCAAAAATTGTCATAATTCGATAATATATATTACAAATTTCTTCATATCCAGGAAGAAAAACCTTTAAAAAAAGGAAGAATGAGAGTTAAAAATTTAAAAAATATATACAATTATTGCCCCTTGAACAGAACTATCCACAAGGTATCTTAATGTAGCTACAACAAGATCAATATCAACAGAATCACGCCATTGTCTGCCACCAGAGTCCAAATATTTCTAAATTTTAGGTTCTAATTTAAAAAACACACAAAATTTTTTTGTTTTTCCCGAGTTTAGGGGAGGGACTGTTTCAGCTTCATTAACCTCAAATATTCCTTTCCCAAAAATAAAAGTCAAAAATCTAAAAAATACATCAACAATATCCTTTTGCGGCAAAAGAAGCATTCCAACACGAAATTTTAATAGAAAATTTTTGTCAGCAAATGAAGGACGGTCAATAAGGAGTTGATCTATATAATTGGAGTTTGATTGGCATAAAGGAAAAGAATTCATTGCATAACTGCCGTTCTCACAACCAAAAGAATTGTTCTGAAAAATTAAATTTTAGTGTAAAAGTCAACGAGAAAATTTTTTTCTATGTTCCACAAAACAACTGGTTTATATAATTTATTAGGAGGAAGTATAAAAATTAACCTGTACATTTGAGGATTCAAAAAACCCATAAGGATTAATTGGAGGATTGGATTCAAATTGATTATATGATTGAAAGGGAGAATAGCAGTCTCCAGTAATTTTAGTTCCATTGCTATTGTTTTTATTAATATTGTTGTTAAACATTCCAAAAGATGATTTTGATTGATAACCAGTTAAAGCAATAATTTCAGGTAAGAAAAAACAATCGACGTGAAAGACACGTGAAGGAACTAAAAAGAACTCGGTTTAGTAAGGGAAAGGCCAAATGTCCAAAAAACAAAATTTAGAAAATCTAAAAAAATAATACCATCAATATGACAAATCCCCTGTTGCTCAAAATATTTCAAGAATTTATTAATGTTTTCTCCCATAGTTGCAGACATTAGCACAACTCTCAAATCTGGTCGACGTGAAATTGCCCATCGCAAAACAATTAATAAATAATCAGTATTTGTTTCTCGTTCATGAATTTCGTCCTTAAAAATTTTAAAATTATTTTAAAGTTAAAGAAAACATACAAGTATAACATGTGTAATCTCTGAAGCTAATTCATTATTAGTCAATTTTCTAAGAAGAACACCACTTGTACAATAAGTAAGTGCAGTTTTGGACGAAATTCTGAATTAAAAATTTATTAGCAGAAAAGATAGCAAAGGGGGAAAATGGAATTTTGGCAATCCCGGAGAATTGGGGTCCCTGCGGAAAAAAATCTTAAAAATAAGAAAAAGGATTTTTCTAGGGTAAAAAAATATGCTGATTACGAATCTGTCAGATTTTGAAAAAGTCGAATCCCGAACCCGAATTCGGACTTTTGCCCCCGAACAGGATTTTTGGCCCCAAACATTGTCGGACATTGTACAAAATGGCTAGTCTTTCAAAAGAATCTAGAACTCATCGAGCTAAGTCGAATGACACCAAAATTACAGTGATTGATCAAGTTTAGACAAAATTATGACATAAGTCGCCGACTCTTACAGTACTCCCAGAGGTTTACTTTATGTCATAACTTTGTCGAAGCAGGTCCGATCGCGTTGGTTTTGGTGTCATTCGATGCAGCTCGACGAGCTCTTTCGAATGAGCTATCATTTGCATATTCGAAATTCGGGTTCAGGGTTCGAAATTTGGTTCGGGTTCGGGATTCGACTTTTTCAAAATCTGAGTTCAGATTCGTAATCAGCATATTTTTTTACCCTAGAAAAATCCTTTTTCTTATTTTTAAGATTTTTTTCCGCAGGGACCCCAATTCTCCGGGATTGCCGGAATTTTTATCCATGCAATGTTATAAACATTGTATCTACTGACCAACTCACACCAAAAATTCAATTAAAAAAACCTCTGCTCCAAACGAATATGATATCCAACAATATCCCCAAGCAGTTCTCCCCTTTCCAAAGCAACTCTCTTAGCTATTGATATTGCAGGAAGACGTCTAGGTTGAGTGCACATTATTTGGATTGGGGTAGAATTGTCTGCAGCATCCTCCAACAAAAATTGGGGAACCTAAATTTTAGATTCCATGTCTTTTTTCAATTATAAATCAACCTGAGTAGTTTTCCCGCAACCTGTCCCGCCAGTAATTAGAGTAACAGGATGTTGTTTAATAGAAGCTAAAATTTTGTTTTTGAAATTCCATATTGGAAGAGAACGTCGAGAAGCAAATAATTGAGCATTTCTTGATGAAGCAGGAGGTGGAATGTTGGTAGAGCCAAAATAAAGTTGTTGTTGCTTTGAGAATTTTGTTTTGTGGTTTTTGTTGAAAGCACCCGAATCCTCATTAATTTCAGAACCACACGTGGAATATTGAGAAGATGATGGTGATACAGGCATGGAACTGACAGAACTGTCTGAAAATTATAAAATAAGAATGTGTTACAATCATCAGTTGTGTGGCATACCCCACCACTGAAATAGGAAAAACTCAAATGAGAAAACATATCAAAAATGAAAGAATGTTGCATGTGCAGGTAATCTTCAGCTTTACTGGTCCCTAGAAAAAAATGTGGTAGAAGTTCTTTTTCGATATTTTTGAGGTCTGCCAGTAGGTAATCGAGTGTGCTGAGTCCGAATATGGGCTTGGAATTTGTTTATTTCGAACCTCGGACCAGAATTCGACCAAGTCGAATTCGGAGTAAGAATTCGAAACTATTAGGCTATTGCTATTCTGACGCATCAATTTAAGTGGTATAAGTGAGTCGAATGATAACAAGATTAATGTGTTTCGACAACCTTAGACCAGGGTTGTCGTTTTACCCTATTTATAGGGGATTTTCCCTATTTTTGGCCTTTTCGCCCTATTTTTTCCCTATTTTATACATTTGCCATATTTTGCCCTATTTTTAACATTTTGTTATATTTTTCAAATTTTCGGGTATTTTGTAAATAAAATGCGAAAAAACAAAGAAATCTAACTCTTGAACATAGAAATTCCCAAAATTTTCGCCTGCGGCGCTGAAAAAAGAGAAATCTCTACTATTGATCTTCTTAATTTCTCAAAATTTTCGCCTTCGGCGATAAAAAAGGAAAAAAATCTGGCTTAATAACTTCAAAATTCTCAAAATTTTGCTGAAAATGGAAGAAATCTATTGGTTCCAAAGATCTCGAAGAAAAACTTGATTATCGAGATCGAGAGACATTTCGTACTATTGTCGTACGATAAAAATTTCAGTTTTTCGAGATTCGAGATATCTTGTACGATTCTCGTACAACATTCCCAGTCCGGTCTCTAATCTGAACTATTCTGCTTTGTAGAAATTTAGTTAAAACTAGTGAAAAATATGCTAAATGAAGCTTTTTATTTAAAATTTTAATTATTTTTATGTTTTTAAAATAATTCCATATTTTTTGCCATATTTTTGACCAATTTTGCCCTATTTTTTCCCTATTTTTGAGTGGCTGCGCCCCATTTTAGTGGAATGGAAACGACAACCCTGCCTTAGACTGAGTTATGATCAATTAAATACACGCTTGGTTGAACTTCCGTATATAAATCAGACACCATAATTTAGTCTAAAGATGTCGAAACGTAATAATTTTAATACCAATCGACTCAGCTCGAAGAGACTAGTCCAATTAGACATAAAAGTTGAAATTTCGAATTTTTACCCCATGTTTGACATGGTCGAATTCGGGTTCGGGGTTCGAAATAAACAAATTCTAAGCTCAGATTCGGACTCGGCAAGCTCGATTACCTACTGGCATGCCTCAAAAATGTCGAACTTACACTTTTTCTTCATTTTTTTCTAGGGACCAGTAAAGCTGAAGATTACCCATGTGCATGTGACCGGGGCGTTAAAAAGGAGGGATTCTAGCTTTTTGGTCATCAAAAATGCCGTCGGTTATCCTTTTTCCCAAGCAGATTTAATAATTGTGTCGTTTACAGACCCCGTTTTCATCCCCAAGTTTTTCCAATAATAGAAAGATCAGACTTCCTTTCTTCCATACTTCCCCCTTTACTCATAATTTTCTAGATACCAAAGGTTAGAAAGGCAGTAGGGATGGAAACTTGGAGACGAAAAAGAGGAAGTTTCTATTAACCAACAGATTCTATTAGCCACTTCTCCCTTCAAGTTTACCCAAAAAAACACTCTTAGTTTAGGCAACCTAAAGCTACTCATTGTTAGAATATTCGAAAACTCTTTAAAAACACACCCTCTTCATCAAAGTCTTCACCAAAAATATAAACAAGATCCTTCTTGTCAAACGGAAAAACATTCAAATGTCGATCAATACATTGTTCAATCTCACAGCCCAAGTTTATTTCTTGTGATTCATTGACACACGTGAAATACATAATTTTAAAGATTTTATCTAAAAATTCTAAAATTTGCAATTATCAAAGAAAAAAATTCAATAGAAAAACGAAGAACTTAAATAGTAAAACAATTGGTAACATTTCGATTGTAGACATTTCGTTGATTGATAAGAAAGATTTTTTAAAATCTCTAAAATTCATTTCGTCACAAATAACAAAATTGACCATTTTGTCACAAAGGTATTATTTTGGGACATGCCCGAATAGGCGCGCGGCCATAACGGCGCAAAGTCATAACTTGCTGGAAAATTTCTGGCCCTCATCAATTTTGGTACCAATCTCTTTAGCTCGATGAGAGAAATCGTTTACTACTAAATTTGGTAAAATTCGGAAATATTGAGGAATTTTGGTAAAATTAGGAATTTTGGTAAAATATTGAGGAAATTTGGTAAAATTCGGAAATATTGACTACTTGGGCTCTACCCATTATTTTTATTTTGGAAGCTTTGTAATTTTCTATCAAACTTGACTAATTCTTGTAGTATTCCAACTTTATTTCAGTAAAATTTATTACTACATATCTGTTAAAATTCAACAGAAAATGGCATTATTCTATGAAGCAACTACAAGGTAATTTTTGAAATTTAAATTTTTCCTTCAGACACAGGAATTATAAGACTTTTCCCTCATTTTCTAACAAAAATTATTTAATCAGAATTAATTTTAATTTAAAAGTGGCCTCAATTTCGACCGTTTTACCGAAGATTTATTTGGGGATTCAACGAAATTGCGTATGAAACAAGCTTTTTGGTCAGCAAAACAATTATTGAGGGAAAAAATGGGAAAACGTGAAGATGAACATATTTTGGCTGCAGATGCTGAATTGGATTTAAATTTACAACAATTTTATCAAATTAAGGAAAGCACAAAAAGGCTTCTGGATTCTAAGAGTAAACTACATAGAGAGGTTTGTTTTGATGTTTTTAAATGGCTTTTTTGGACTTTTGAGATAGTAGATATTGTTGCGGTCAATCTGCAACTTTTTGCGGATTGTCCGCAAATATACAGTAGGTGTACTCCCTTTGAGATTGAGATTTTTGAAAAGCATGGGCCTGTTCCGGGGTCTGGGTTTGTATATGGACACGTTGCCAGGATCCTGGGCCTGTAGTCAAGTAAAACCCCAAGCCCAGCAAAGCCCCAGGAAGGTCAAAAATGCTTACATTAGGCCTCTAAATTCACTGAATGAGTTTTCGTTTTTTTACAACTGTCATATTTTAATTCATTTTTTTAAAAACAGTTTTCTGATTTATCTCATCTTGAATTTGATATTGCTGAATTATTTCTTGATTGTAAAGATGAGAAGAAACATTTGCAAAGAGTAATGCAAATGACAGCAAATAGTTTTGCTCTATGTGCAAAAGAAAGGTTTTTTAAAATTTTTTTTAATTATCAATATTTTCAGGCAAAATCTGCTTCTTTTAATTGCTCGATTTTATCACGAATTAAATGTAAGAATTTATTTATTTTAAAATTTTTAAAAATTATTTTTAAAGGAATTTTATGAGAGAGCTGTGTTAGATTGTGCTCAATCTGTTGAGGCAGTAGAAAAAGCAAGATTGGATTATAGAGGTTCTTTATTATGGATGAAAAAATGTAGCGATGCTTTAGATCCAGAATTGAGAGATTCTAATGGACTGGAGGTTTTTTTAATTAATTGCTAGTAATTAATTCTGTCATCAGCCCTTCCTGTACTTGAGACATTCTTCAAACACGACAACGTTAAATTGGGTCAAGGGGTTCCTTCTCCCGAACTCGAAGGTAGATATGAAGACTGATTTAGAGTATAAATCAGGAAATGAGCCGACGTTTTTTGGGTCGGGAATTCCTGAAATCGGGAATTTTATTTTTATGTCGGCTCTCCCTGTATAAATCCAGGCCCGTAGCCAGGGGGGGAATTCCCCCCCCCCCCCCCCCCCCGAAATGGGAAAAAGGGAAAATTTTGGGGAAGGGCTGGGGCAAAAAAGTGAATTTTTTGGCCCACGGCCTTCGAAATTTTCAAAATTTTCGCCTGCGGCGCTGAAAATAAAAATTTTTGCGCCTTCGGCGCCAAAAATTTGGCGCAAAAAAATTTTTACCCCTTGGCCCCCCCCCCCCCGAAAAAAAATCCTGGCTACGGGCCTGTATAAATCTCCCCATTTTTTTGGAAAAATATTTTTTATGTTTCCCTTTCCTTCCAGCTTTTTAATTTTAATTATTTTCAAAGGATTTCCGAACTGTTCAAAATGTTGTAAAAACAAATAAGCAAAAATTCGATTTTCTAAAAGAAGATATTACAGTTAAAGTTGATACATTGAAGAAGGCTAGAATAAAATTATTTGATGAAATTTTGAATGATTACAAGTCTGTCCTTTTTAAATTTTATGAAAAAACGGCTGATGAATTTACTGCTTGTACCGAAGAAATGGCTGGATTAGAATCTTATGAAATTGACGTTCTTAAAGTATTTTTTAAAAATTTATCTTGGTCTTTTTTTGCGGACAATTTTAGGATTAGAGGTCGGTAAAATCGCATTTACGGGATCCCGTAACGGGATTTTTTCAAAAATTTTTTATGGGACAGGATCCCGCGGGATTAATCCCGTAAATCCCGTTCATCGTTTAAAACACGGGATTTCGGTATAGGATCCCGTAAAATCCCGACGGGATCCTGTCCCGTGCCGACCTCTATTTAGGACTAATTTTTATCTCAATCAACTAATTGTAAGCATTGGACGGTTTCCGTACAAAAGATTTTATCGTAGGTATTGTCCGCAAAACTTTGCTGTCATTTTGTAAAATATAATTTTATATTCTTTTATTCAAAGATTTTAAATGATCCAATAAAAGTTGCAGAAGAAAAACAAAAAGAAAGAAAAGAAGAAATTGAAGGAAAATATTCTAATTGGAAATTTTCGTCTAGTGAAAGAATACCTAAAAATCAGTTAAATTGTAGAAGAAGAATGGAGTCAGAAAATAATGAAAGGTTTATAATTTAAAAATAAGATTTTTCTTTGGTTGTTTATCCCAACTTTTTGGGAATAATTCTTGTGGATAGATTCACTAATTCTGCTTAAGTTATGATTTTTAGAGTTTCCGTGAAGCCTGACATGAGACTCAAAATCCGGCGGGAATGCTAATTCTCCAAACCTTCCCGAATTTTAACAGCTCTCCCAAAGATATATTCGCTGCCTTAATACTTTGATAAGCGAATATCCATGTCACTTAAGTCACTAGGATTTTTATGCGTTTAGTACATTCAAAATTTTTCTAATGTATATGCATAAAATTTTCGAGAAAAAACCGATAAATTAAAAGTATGGGAATAAAACAATTTGTAACCTGTCCGCATGTCTTTGCGGACAAACAATAAACACCAAAAATTATTTCTTAAATAAAAAAATTTTTTTAGTTTAATTGAATTAGACGATGTTGGAGAGGAAACTGAAGTTTGTGAACCCGCAATGGATAGAATTCGTGATTTATTTCGTTTTGATGACGAAAAAGATGAAGAAGAAAATGACGGTTTTGATAATATTGAATTAAATTTGGTTGAACCTCCAAAATTAAATTTATTAAAACATTCAAATGAAATTGGTTTATTATCATTTAATGACGAAGAAGAAGAAAATTTGGAATTTGAGGAACCAAAAAGTGGATCTTCTAAACAAAAGTAATTTTATTTTTAAAATTATTGGGTGATAAAATTTGGAAATTCTTAGATTCTCGATTTTTGAACTTAAATTTCAAACAACAAAATTTTTAATCGACAAAATTTTTATTTTTTAAGTTCTTTATTTTTGCTTTAAAAATTAGTTATTCATTAGATTATCCCAGATTATCCCCATGGAACTTAAAAATCATATTTTAGAGAGAGAGATATTTAATTTATATTTTTGATATTGAGGGTACTGCTTTGAAATTAGGATTAGTTATTCAGTCAAGCAGTGGTCAACCAAAATTAAAAATCTAATTTAAATTGGGGTGCATCAACCGTAAATATATTTTTCTATTTTTTAGATGCAAAAAGAGCACTGATCTATTGTTAGAACTTGAGAAGACTTTAACAAAAGAAGAGCCTAATAATGATTTTTTAAAATCTTTTTCAAATAAAAATGGGGAGTGTAGTAGCAACAAAAATAAAAATGAAGATAATGGTTTTTTAAATTAATTTTAAAACAAAAATTTTTATTTTTAAGCTGAAATAGCCAAAAATCCTAAAGTTTTATTGGAAGAAGCTGACTTTGAAGATTTATTAAATTTATAGAGTAAACTTGGTGTAATAGAATGCTTTAATCTAGTATGATTTTTAGATATTAAAAATTTTTTTAATTTGATACTCATATTTTTAGTTTTTAATTTAATATCCCAGTTTAATAATTCTATGGAAAGATTATTTAAGAAACAAAAATTCCAAAAAAAAATTTTATCCTCAATAGTAATTAAACACTTCCACTCTTCTCCCCTTTAGATCAACACAAAAAAATAATTATCTTAAAAAACTTAATTATCAATCAAAGTAATTTCTGATACAGCTTCTTTAAAAATGGTTTATTTTTAGTGAAATGGTGGGACTAGTAATTAAAATGAAATTTAGAAAAAAGACAAATAATACATTACACACTTCACCGCCCTTGATACATGAACCCTATGATCCTCAAGAAAAAATACCCTTATGTATTTTGTATCCAATGGAAAAATTTAATTATTAAGGACGGGTTAAAAATAAATGTTATTTTTCTATAATCATGATAAAATAGGTGTGTGATAAATCAAGTTATAAAATCTTGAAAATCAAAAATTGGTAGCTTACAAAACATCTATAAAAAAGCTTTACCACCGCGCACAAAACGATGATCAACTTCGTTCCACATTCTATCAGGATGGTTTATTGTGCTAATGTTATTAAATGACCACACATTAAAAGTCTCGATTGTTGGAAATCGTTTGTAAAGTTTTTAGTGTTGTACCATTCTTGATTTAAAAAATATAAATATGGAAAAAATCAAAAAATGAGAAAAATTGATTCGTAGATATTCGGCTGAATTTTGTTAATGATATACACTAAATTCTCAGATTTTAAGCATTTCATGATCCAACCTTATACAAAAGCATGCAGTATAGTTTTAAGTCACATGCTTCTTAGATTTTTAGCCAAAAAGTTATTGGTTTGGATTATTTATTAGTGACCCGGGTGAAAAATTTGTCTGCTAAACTGGTGTAGAATCTACGTATAATACCTACGAATCAATTCTCATTTTTTGATTTTTTCCATATTTATATTTTTTTAAATCAGGAATTTTTAAATCAACACTAAAAACTTTACAAACGATTTCTAACAATCGAGACTTTTAATGTGTGGTCATTTAATAACATTAGCACAATAAACCATCCTGATAGAATGTGGAACGAAGTTGATCATTGTTTTGTGCGCGGTGGCGAAGCTTTTTTATAGATGTTTTGTAAGTTACCAATTTTTGATTTTCAAGATTTTATAACTTGATTTATCACATACCTATTTTATCATGATTATAGAAAAATAACATTTATTTTTAACCCGTCCTTATGCTACGTCTACATAAAAAACGCCAGCGTTTTGCGGAAAACGCTGGCGGAAAAAACGCTGGCGGAAAACGCTAAAAAGTGTCTACATAAAAACAGCGTTTTCTGCCTAGCGGAAAAACGCATTGCGGAAAACGCTGTTTTTATGTAGACACACATCAGCGTTTTCCGCCGGCGTTTTTTCCGCTAGCGTTTTCCGCAAAACGCTAGCGTTTTTTATGTAGACACTCGACTTTTTTGATATAAATATTAAAATGAAATTTTTATCAAAAATTTTTATCAAACAATTACTAAATTTAAACCATTTTTTCTTGCCATGCAACTGATCCAATATCACTATTAAAATAATTCATTAAATTTTCTCTCATCATCTTTGCTTCAACGGGCCAATTTCTTGCATGATTTTGAATTTGTTGAGTTGATGGAAGGGGTTCTGAACCAGATAATAAGTTGCGCCATTCACCATTTTCTAAATCTCGATAAACTTCTGTTTCATGATCAACCATCGAAAGTATTTTATTTGTTGTTGATTCATCAATTAAAAAATTATGTAATACAATAATAGCACGAATAATCCAGTTTGCCGATTCAATGTTTGTTTCAATGGGTTTTAATAGAATTCGCCATTTTACACACATTATTCCAAAAACATTCTCAATAACCCTTCTAGCTCTTGAAATCCTATTTAAAATTTAAATAATTTAATTTTACAAAATAAACCTGTAATTGTAAATCCGTTGCTGATGTGAAAGTGCATTACCAGAAAAAGGTTTCATAATGTTCAAAGAAAGTGGAAAAGCCGCATCAGCAACAATGAAATAATTTATTTTGTCAGAATCAGGCAAGCCTGGTAAATGGGTTGGTTCAGGAATATTCAACAAATTATCATTCAATTTTGCTTTCAATGAAGACGAAGAAAAAACATTGGCATCACCTTTATATCCATACTCACCAACGTCAACATAGAGAATTCGATAACTAAATATCAATTGTAAAAATATTATAAATTTAAAAAAAACCGATAATCACACAGAGCAAGCATATTTAAAGAAAAATTATGCTTATAATCATGATACAAGCTTCCAGAATTATTGGGTTTACGAACTCTAACCAATTTTCCATCCAACGCTCCTAAATTTAATTAAAATATTAAATTGTTTTTATATTTCTCACAAACCAATACACAAAGGCATGTTCCATCTTTTTTCAAACCCATTAGCAATATTTTTCCATTCTTCATTTGATGAAGGTAATTTCACATATTTTTCGTGTAATGACCAGATAGCCTTCGAAACACGTTTGACAATTAAAGATATTGTTGATCTGCTTCTACGAAATGAATATTCAAGTGCACGATATTGCATTCCGGTTGCGAAAAAACGTAAACAAATGATTAGCTGTTCTTCGGGTGAAACTCCTCTTTTACTCTTCAACTCAATTCTAAAAAAATAATACTTAATTTAAAAATTGATAAGAAACAACTTTGATTTAATTTGTGCTAAAAGAAGATCAAATTCACGACAGGACATTCTCGTATAACAATAAAATTTTTCTTCATCTTTACGTAATTGCTGAAACAAAACTACAAATTCACCTTCAGTTGGTTGTTTGGAAAGTAACGGGTGAACCCATAAGCGTTTCTTCTTTCTCTTCCTCATTCTTCTTAATCTTATCAATTTTAAAAGTAAATCTAATTTTTTCAATATTCCTGGAAGCATTTACTGAAAATATTATATAAATTTAATATTAATTCAATAAAAAATAATCTATCGTAAAATAAACGCAATAAAATATATAAATTAATTTGTTTGAAATTTTATTCAAATATTAAAATATTTTTAAATAATTAAAAGTTTTGAAAAAGATTTTCCGTTTCTTCGAAAACTAAATTTTTTCTTGATTTTAACTCCATTAACAAATTCATAATTCTGGTTTTTGCTTCATTTTGTAATGGTGTTGAAAGATTTTTAATTTCTGATCCAACATACAAACCAAATTGCTTATTTGGCGAAGAATCGTTTAAATTTTCTTTAATTTGCTTAGCCAATTCAACAATACAATTATCAACAGCGTCATCCTTGTCTGTATCAGAAAGCCGTCGACGTTTTGAAGGCAATTTTTGAGTAAAAATTTTTTCATTTTCATCATCACTTGAACTCATTGAAATAGTACAATTTAATAAATCTTTAACATCGTTTGGAATAGACATTGTTTGAATTGAATCAATCCGACTATAAATTTATAAATATAATATAAAATAAAATATAACCTTGAACAATTTTCTTTTTCTTCTTCCAAAAAAGACATTGAATTTAAATAAGGCCATTTAACATCTTTACCATCAGAACCAGAAGCTTTTGGTTTCTTTAATTTGGAGTAATAATCACAAAGATGTTTCCATTTCTGTTTGGCAGATTTAACATCTGTAAAATTTAGCAAAAATTTAAAAATAAAATAAAAATAAAACCATCAAATCCACTTTGTTCAGCAATCGATAACCAAATTTTATCATTTTTGTTTTTGTCTTTATGCTCGCTGTGCCCTTTACGCCAAATTATTTCATTCTGTTGTATCATCTCAATAAATAAATTCATATCAATTTTGGTTGACATTTAAAAAAATATTTTTTTATCTAAAAAGAAGAAAAAATTATTTAGATAAATTATTTTAGAGTTAAAATACAATTTTTAAAAATTACTACCCTTCAAAAGGGTCCCCCCTTTTCAATTTTACAAAAAAATTAACAAAAAGTATACCTTTTTCAAAAAAAAAATTTGTGATAAAATTTCAAACTTAAAAATAAAAACTTATATCAATCGATAGATAAAAGTTTAAATTTCAATAATCTTTTTAAATTTTTAAAATTGGTCCAATATTGATCGAGAAATTAATTTTTCAATTTTATCAAAAATTTTCCGCAAAAAAATATCAAACAGTTTTGATATTAAAATTCTTCCGCCGGCGGAAAAAACGCAGCGGAAAACGCAATTTATGTAGACACTCAAACTGCCGAAAAAACGCTAGCGTTTTTTCCGCCGGCGGAAAACGCAATTTATGTAAACACTCAAACTGCGGAAAAAACGCTAGCGTTTTTTCGGCAGCGGAAAACGCAGCATATGTAGACACTCTCAATTTGCCGAAAAAACGCCGGCGTTTTTTCTCTCTCACTTTTCCATACTATTTTCTGCGGAAAACGCGCGCGTTTTTTTATGTAGACGTAGCATTAATAATTAAAATTTTTCCATTGGATACAAAATACGGATATTTTTTTTGCGGATCATAGGGTTCATGAATCAAGGGCGGTGAAGCATGTAATGTATTATTTGTCTTTTTTCTAAATTTCATTTTAATTTCTAGTCCCACCACTTCACTAAAAATATGTACTATTATTGAAAGAAGCTGTATCAGAAATTACTTTGATTAATAATTAAGTTTTTTAAAGATAATAATTTTTTTTGTGTTGATCTAAAGGGGAGAAGAGTGGAAGTGTTTAATTACTGTTGAGGATAAAAATTTTTTGGAATTTTTGTTTAAATAATCTTTCCATAGGATATTCTGATTCTTTTTTGCTTTTTTATCTTTACATTATTTTTTGTTTAAAAATATTACACATTTTTAATTAAAAAATTACAATTTACTAATAAAGTCCGTTAAGAAATTATAAAACAAGCTTTTTTTGGTGTTTCTCATATTTCCTATGTCAAATTGAATCAAAAAATTTTTTTAAATTAGATGTTCTAAAAATATTAGGATTTTGAGTTTAAGAGAGTTTTGGTGAAATTTGAAATTTTTATGATTTTTTTAAAATAAGGTGTAAATAAATTATAAGAATGAGATTTGAATACTTATTTTCGCTAGAAGTGTTCCACAAATTCTGTAAAAATTCCTCTGAACATTTCATTTGATTTACAATCCTATTATATTATTTTAGAAATAATGCGTTTCCCTATGTGTTCTGTAAAAATTTTTTATTGCGTTATGTCTTAAAAAATATATATACATATATAAAATATAAATAAACATATCTATCAGTATACATAAGAAATACAAAAGAAACGAAGTTGAAATATAGTCCATCGAGATCTCAAAATCCGAAAATCAACGGAAAATCGGGGTTATAGCAGAAATCCTCTATAGACCTATTGATTGATTTGAGAAGGGCTTATTTATTTACCAGCTCGATTATTTACCAAGGGCGTAGCCAGGGAGATGAGGGAGAGGATTTCTGCTATAGACCTGCAAAAGAGGAAATTTTCGCATGCGGCCTGTATACAATTCAATTTGATATGGGCACCTCGCCCACCATATATGGTGCACACACATATATGGTGCACACATTGAACATATGGTGCACATATTTGCGCGTGTGCACCATATGTTCGAAGGATGCGTGGAGTGGATTATTATTATCATTATGTAGTTAATTTTATTTTCTAACCTAATTTAAAATTTTGGGGTTGCTTAAACTAAACTTTTTGGTTTTAAAACTTTAGTTTGGTTTTCTTTTCTGATTTTCTTGTCGAATCAAAATTTAAGTTTTTAACGCCGCAGGCGAAAATTTGATTTCCATTGCCTGTGGACCCATACATTCCAGAGCTGCTGAGAAAAATAATTTTAAAAATCTATCATTTGCGCGTGTGCACGAATTATTGTGTACACTAAACTACAATTAAATTAGGCACAATATATTTATATCAGGGATGGGACGGGTCGACAATTGCGGGTTTTGTAAGAGAAGTTAAAATTTTTTGTCCAATTTTTGGCAGTTTTTAGTTGAACATAAGGCTGTACAAATACAAAATTATTTGCAAATTGGACCAAAAATACAGGCACGGTGTTCTTTTGGTCCTATGCGTTTATTTACCCACACGTTTTGTATACACTTATACACTTAAAAATAAATTGATATATAAGAAAATATGAAAAATCTCAATCCGACCCGTCCCATCTCTGATTTATATTAGGATCTTGAATGCCCAGCGGAATGCAAGGTCTTCTACCACGACGACTGGCGTGTTACCGTGTATAGGACTGGAGCTCACTTTCATCTTACACCAGAATTTTTTGTATTTAATACAAATAATGCTGATAATGGAAGAAGGAATAGCTGTATGTTTTGTTTATATTCGGGAAAATTTTTTATTGTTTCTTAAATTAATTCTGATTCTTATTTTCCGGAAACATTACTACTTTACGGAGATTTTGAAGTTTTTAGAAAATGCTTTATTTAATATGTTCAAGATTTTATTAATTTTATTTTTGTTTAAAAAGTATTTTGTTGTTTCCTTTTATTTTTTAAATTTTATTACTTTAATTTTTGTTGACTTCTATAACACAATATTTCAAAATTTGAAATATAATTCTTTTAATATTCTTAGGAAATATACTTCCAGAATAATTTTCCAGAAATATATTTAAAAATTGATTCTCCGTAAAGTAGTAATGTTTCCGGAAAATAAGAATCAGAATTAATTTAAGAAACAATAAAAAATTTTCCCGAATATAAACAAAACATACAGCTATTCCTTCTTCCATTATCAGCATTATTTGTATTAAATACAAAAAATTCTGGTGTAAGATGAAAGTGAGCTCCAGTCCTATACACGGTAACACGCCAGTCGTCGTGGTAGAAGACCTTGCATTCCGCTGGGCATTCAAGATCCTAATATAAATCAGAGATGGGACGGGTCGGATTGAGATTTTTCATATTTTCTTATATATCAATTTATTTTTAAGTGAAGATGTAAATAACAAGGACGTTGCCAGGAATTTCAGGGGGCTAAAATGGGCTGTGCGCCTAAATTTTGGTGTTTAATTTGACGTTCCGACCGCAAATTTTATTAATGTTTTTATTTTTACAGGCCGCAGGCGAAAATTTTTGTATTTTTCAAGTTTATAGCAAAACTCCAGTTTGGAGCTAAAAAATTAGGGATTTAATTAAAACAACAATTGAATTGAATAAAAACCTCATTTGAATATTTCTGAATGGCTAAAGGATCTTCTTGCTTTTCTTCCTCCTTTTTCTTTTGCTGTCTTCATCCCCATTTTTTGTCATCTTTTACCACCTCTTCTTTTTCTTCCGACAATTTTTTTTCTTTCCTTTTATTTTTCTTTCGTCCATTTTCTCTTTTCTTTCTTCCCTCTCTTCAATTTTTTTGTTCCTTTCGCCTCTCCTTGTCTTTTTTTACTTCCCGAGATTTTTCTTCTTTTCCTTCTTTAGCTCTTTCCTCATCCCTCTTTTTCCATCTTCTTCTTTTTCATCCTTCATTTCTACATTCTCCATTTGTTCCTTCTTTTCTCTTCTCTCCTCTTTCCGTTCATCTTTCCTCGACAATTTCATATCTTTCTTCTTTTTTTCAACCCTTTCTTCATTTCTTTCAGTTTTTCTTCCCCTTCTTTCATCCTTTTCACCATTTCTTTTGTCTTTTTCTTCCAAAGCATGGTGACGAGGATTGAAGCAGGGTTTACTGAAATATTTATTGAATGATTTCATGAATAAAAAATCAAAACAAAAGTACAAGGGGCCAAAGTCGTTTTTAAGGCCCATCGTTTGTCCGAATCCGTTTACGGGACATATGATGAAATCATTAGAGATGACTAGAGATCAAGCTGGGTCTTGACCAAGGCCTATGTTTTTCCTGTACTCCAGAGTTCAGGCCTCAGCATTTTTGACCTTCTTGGGTTTTCTCTGGGCCTGGGTTTTTCCTGAACTACAGGCCCAGGTTCCGGGCCAAGTCAATAAATCAAACACGGAACCCAGGAACAGACTCAGGCTTTGCAAAAATCTCGATCTCTATTAATAACTCCAAAAATTAATTTTTAAACAAACCGGGCTGATGTAGGTCGACGACTGAAAAACGCCTGCAGAACGTTGAACAATCCCGCTAATTGCTGTATCCCTCAAATAAAAAGATTTTTTCACTTAAAAATTCCCTTGAAAAGGCTTACTGGACTTTGGGTAACTTCAAAGCATTATCTCTCGGCAATCCTTGAACTACAACAGAAGAATTTCTTGGGACCAATTCCCCCGTCGTATATTCTCTTTTTGTGTGGGCATCTGTTCGAATACTTCCTTTATCGCATATTGCTTCTTCCACGCCTATATGGAGGCCATCAAAAGTTAAAGTTTTGTATTCTAGTGTTGCTTTAAATTTGTAGTGAACTGAAGACATTTTTTTAAATTAATTTTTCATCTAAAATTAAATTTTTAATCAAATAAAATACTCCAACACAATTTCTGGCCCCTAATTAATTTTAAAATTAAATTTTTCAAGAAAAGGAAGAGAGAAGAAAGGAGGGCGGGGTGTATGGGGGGAAAACTACACAAGTCGAAAAAATGCCTCACACAATTGAGGGAGGACAAAAAAATAATCTCCAATACACTAAAACCTCATAAATTCAATAAAAAAATCTCAAGAAAATTTCCCTAGCAAGAAAAAATCAAATTTGTTGCAAATCAACTTCTAAAAATTTCCAAGTGTGAAAATAGTATAGTAATATAAGAGAGACATTAGAGAAGCAGAGAAATTTTTATTTCCGCCATTATTCTAGAATATTCTGGGGATCTTTGAGTCCTGACTGCTGAACTCTGAGCCATATTTTAGGTCATAACTTCGTGACTTTTTGACCAATTCGAATAAATCTTTTATCATTCGAAAGCTCTGGATATGAGGATTATTTTTGCCAACAGCATTAATTTGATCAGATCATTCTGCAGAAAGTTATATTTAGATAAGTGCGCGCAATCGTGATTTTTGATACTTTTTCGGCTGTAACGTTTTGTATGATGATCTGATTAGATCAATCCTTTTGGATGAAATAATCCTTAGATAAAGAGCTTTCGATTGATATATAAATTATCTAAATCCATTAAGAATCAAAAAAGTTATGGCCCAAAATATGGCCCAAGGTTCAACATTCAGGACACAACTGGGACTTATCGATTTTAAACATGGAAAATAGTGTGTTAATATAAGAGAATTAGTTAATCAAAGTTTCTTTTAATTAAGCCATTTTGGTGCCCGTGTCGGAGCGCCGTTTCTTCTGTTTCTTTTTTTGTTTTTGCTTTTGATTCTTTCCTAAAAATTTTTTTCAACTACTTTTGACTTTTAGGATTTAAGATAAAAGCTTAGTTAGCTTTTTAAATGCAACGAAGTATTGGTGTCTGCTTTTGTTGGTCAGATTTGGAGAAGAGGCGTAAAGCTATTGACCTCTATGTTCAACGTCAATTGGAAGTTGTTGATGGAATTCCCAAAAAGGTTTTTTTCGGTTTTTTAATTTTTAATTGCTTTTAAAAGGTATTTTATGAATGTGGTGCTACTCCAACAAATTGCAAATATAATGTTACTGCTGTAAGAAATGAGGCTACTGGGCATTTTGAATTATTTGAGATGGGCGAACATTCTCATCCGATCCGTGCAAATATTTCTAGTGGTTTGTTTTTTATTTAAATGTTTATTTTGTTAAATTGAGCTAGTATTCTACGTAGTTTTTGTCTGCAAAATATTTCTACGGGAAGAGGCGCTTTAATTTTGACCATCAAATTTTTGGCTTTTCAATTTCCTATGGATTTGCTTTCCATAGGAAATACAAATCCTTCCGAATCCTCAACTGAGGAGCCACAAAAAGTGGGATACTTTTAGAATTACTAATATAGTTGATATGTTTAAGCGCCGGTTTTGCAAACTATCTTGTCTCTTTATGAGATAGGGTAAAATAAGTGAGGTCATTTTCTAGCACTCGAAAATTGATTTTTTATCTTCTCTCCCCTATAGTTTAAAAAATGTTTTTTAGGTATTCTTGTCGATCAAACCAATCCTATTTGTCCTCAGCCATCTACTCAAAATGTAATTTCTACAATCATGTCTACCGAACCCTCAACTGAGGAACCACAAAAATTGGCAACTAAAGGTTTTTTTTCTAATTTTAAATGAATCAGAAACATTCAATTTAGAAGAAAAACCATCAACAAAAGAACCAAAAAAGGAAAAACAAATTGCGTCAACTTCAAAACGTAAATCGTCGCCTAAACCGAAGAGGTCTATGCCACCCAAAAAACTTGCAAAGTTGACGGAAGATGATACTAAAAGACGTGATTCATCAAGTGAAAGCATTAAATCAGAAATGAGTAAATTTTTTGAATTTTGAATGAATTGATAATTTTTATGTTCATTTAAAGCTTCAACAACCAACAGTTCTAGTACTTTATGGAATTCAAAACGTAAGATGCTTCCGCGTGCTGCAAAGATGAACATTATTAATTCTGAAAAGCGGGCTTCGTTAAATGTATAATTTTGTAATTTTTGTGGGAATTTGTTGAAGATTATTTTCAACCCATTTTGTCAAAACCTCGTTTTCTATGAGTTCTCCTTTTCCCTCATAATTTCTAGAGATAGGAAATTTTAAGAGAACCTTGATTCGTGTGATAATCTTGACCAGATTCTTTATTTTTTGTCAAGGAAAAATCAAGTAACACTGAAAACAGCTTTGGGAAATTTTTTTGAATTGTGTAAGGATGAAATGACTGACCATTCCGTACAAAAAGTAAAAAGCGTACTGGGGGGGGGAGGAAATAAGTTTCAGCCTTGATCCAGATCTAGGCCTATCTTCATTAATTTCTTTCCAGCTGCAATTTTTCAAAAAATATTATATTTCTAAAATTTCCAGCTTCTCATGTCGCCTTGTGAACCTATGACAAGATCGCGTGCTCGAACTTTATTGGATAAAAGTAATTCTGCTAAACCTTTGGTATTTTTATTTTGTAATTTTTAAAATAAAATTATTTTTTATTAAGCATGTTCCCAAAAGAATTTTGTCGGCTCCCAAGCTTTCTGTTGAGAACAAATCAAAGCCTGCATTAAATAGAGGAATGAAGCGCTGTGTGGTCTATTCATCTTCCTCCTCTTCCGAAAAAAGTCTTCCTAAAAATGAGCCAGAAGTGGATGTTCTTAGTTCTTCCTCGGAAGATTCAACTGTATGTTGATTCTTTAAATTATTTTTCTTTCGCCTTCAGGCATTTAGGGTAGATGTTTACGACTAATCTTTGAACTTTAACTTTTCGAAATGGGGGTCGGAGCCAAAAAACCGGAAACCCAATAGGTTTTCGTCTATGATCTTCACGATGGTATTTATGAAAAACCACAGTTGAAATGTTCCCTTGTAACCCCTAGAACAAACGCCGTTTTTTAGTCAATATTTAGCTTTTATTTTCAAAAATTTTTCCGTCTTATATTAATTTAGTTTACCTCTAAAATATCCTTTTATAAGTATTTTTTAAATTTAAATCCACAGTCTTCTTTTTAATTTTTTAGTCTAATTTTACGGCCAAAAATGATTTTCCATCATCTTTTCGTTCAAAAAAAAGTGGAATTCTTTGGAATCGAATTGCTACAGTTTTTGGTGATGATGCGTTAACGAAATTTCAACAAATTAATCATATGCGTTCCTACAAACGTTTAATTTGGAAGTGTAATTTGGAGCCACGAAGCAATGAATATCGAAATAATTGTCAATATATGTAATTTTTTAGGCTTTAATAAGATTTATAATTAAGTTTCGATTAAATTACCTCTGGAACTAGGGTTTATTTCAGTCGTTAATCAAAAATTATTTAAATTCGGAAAAAATCGGAATCTGTCGATTCAAAGTAAAAGAGACTGAAAATACTTATTTCGTCGCAGCTCACAACGTAACATCGGATACTGTGAGCAAAAATTTAGTAATTTTTGGTACCGATCGACTTCTCAATAGAAAGTCGATGGTCCTCTATCAATTGGTACCAAAAAAATTACCAAATTTCTTTACAAGTACCTGATGTTTCTTTGTCAGGTTAGGATGGGAGAAATTGATTTCTGGATTATCCCTTCTTGTTTAAAACTTTTTTGATTTACGTTTCATTTTACACGATAACACTTCACAAGAAATTTTCGAAACTTATTTTAGGATGCGCGTCCTTCCTAAAAAGGATAAAAATTCAAATTTGTATTATGTCTACTTTTCTGGCGTTCATAATCCTTCTTGTAAAAAATTTCACAATGAAGATCCTAAAATTAAAGATTTAAAGAAAACTGCCAGTATCAATCCTTTAGAGATTAACGAAGATAAAAATGACATTCAAGTCCATTCAAAACGTCAGGCTGCAATTACCGCTTCGAGGAAAATTTCTGGTTTTTTTAAATTAAATTATAAATAATTTTGAAATTTTTCAAGGTCAAAGTGAAAATACTAAAAGGAGGACAATAAAGACGCGTTCCTTAATTGAATTGGATTGTACGAGTTCTGAAGATTCTGAGGTTTAAAAAAATATTTTTTAGGCAATTCTTCCCATTTATTTTAGAATTCTACTAAAAATTCTGAAAAGTCTAAAGAAACTTCGATTGAATCGGATGATGAACCAGCAGCTATTTTTATTCAACATACCTTCAATAAACCTCCAACAGAAAATAATTCTAATAATAAGAAGACAGTTTCTATTTCTGATCATCATGAAAAACACAAAAGGGATGGAAATTTGGTATTTCAATCGCCAACGTCTAATGATTTAAATGGTTTGAATATTTTTTTGTACTTTTTAGGAGTATTTTTTTCCTTTTCCTTGGTTTCTGATAACTCAATAAGTTGTGAACCAATTGGCTTAAATTAGGATTTTTTATAATATTGTTACGACATTTATCTTGATTCATTTAACGGCAAACCAAGATAAATATTGGGATCAAAAAACTTCTTAGGTCAAGATTAGTTCTAGATATCTGAGAGAAATATAGTAGAGTAACAGGGGGATGGAAAAGCTTAAGGATTTTTTAGCTTGTTATAGATTAACATTTTATTTGATTCATGGTTTAGGAGATTTGATTTCATGTCAAACTCGCCTAATATAAATTGAGAGGTCAAATAACTTTTTATCTCAAGATCAGGGGCCGATCGGAATTCCGAGTTCCGACTGTTGAGCAATTTTCGATTTCCTATACCTTTTTCATTTCCACCGATCCCTGGTCAAGATTAATTTTGAATGTTAGAGAGAAATAAATTGGCATTGGAAATAATACATAGATCTATGAGGGCCTCTCTTTAAAATTTAGCACAACAATTTAATATTAAAAAAAATTTTTAGAAACATTTCCTCAATTAATTCCTCCAACTTTAATTTCTTCTTCTACTCCAATTAATAGCAATAATAAACAAAATTTAAATTTGTCTTCATCTCATATTCGTTTAAATCCAGCTCCAATAATTACTTTAACTCCTTCAGAAACTCCCCGTAGAAGTTTGGAAAATGCGGAAGAATCTACGGCAACTTTAATAATGTTGGATAATTCTCCAAAAATGGATTTACCTAGAGATTGGAAATTTAAATTGGAAAGTGTTTTTGTACAAATGAATCAATTGGCTGAAGATCTTCATTTAAAATTTACTTGCAAAGGGTTTTCTTTTTTAATTTTTAGGATAAACATTTAAATTTAATTTTTAGTTTAAATTTGGGAGTATTTTCGTCAAATGAACAAAGCCAAACTGGACAAGTGCTTGTTTTAAATGATCAAATAGATGACGATGTTTTTGTTAAAGTTTCGGAATTTGGCGATTGGAAATTAATTTGTGAAGAAATGTGGCCGAAAGTAAATTTTAATTTTGGGAAGATTAATTAAAAGGATTAAGACATTTGGGGGCAGAAAATTGATTATTTTTGGGTCCCCTTTCTTTTCTTTTCTGAGTTTATTATCTTGGGATAGAAAGTTGACAGGGAAATGGGAGAGATATTCGCTCGCGGTTTTTGTTTTCTCTTTTTTGAGTGTCATTTTCCGGATTTTATTTTGATTTTGTGAGTATTAGTAAAAGGATTTTACATTTAGGGACAGAAAAATAATTATTTTTAAGTCCCCTGTCTGCCTTTTCTTTTCTGGTTTCCCAATCTTGCAATATGTAGAAAGTTGATGGGAAATGGGAGAGAAAATTGCGGGCGATTTTTGTCTTCTCTTTTTTGAATGTTATTTTCTGACTTTTATGTGATAGCTTTACTATGGTTATTTGTACTTCCAAATATCCCTCTAACCCACACAACTTCTATATACTCCCTTGCATTCAACTACTCAATTTTTTGGCAACAAACTTTTAAAATTTTTTTAATTTGAGGCAGGTGTTCGTCAATTTTTATATGCTGTCCGTGGAAAGCTTATTGAATTTTTCTTTGTCATTCCTAGTTCACCAACTGGAGGAAGTGAAATAAATACAAATGATGGAAAATCTTTGGTTATTTTTATTTTTAAAAATTTTATTTTTAATTTTGTTTGAAGGTTAGCGAAATTAATTCTGAAGGAACTACAACAGGAACTTCATCTTCTGTCCAATTTAAACGTGAAAATACTGAAGATCTCTCAACTGTTGTTTCTTTTGAAGGAGATTTTGTTGGTAAAGATAAAGAAGGAAATTTAGAAATTTCTGTTCAGGTAAATATTCAGGTATTTTTAATTATTTAATTTTAAATATTTTTGGATTGCACCAGGGATCGCGCCAACAGGAAACCAAGTGTCCGGTAATTCACGATTTTCAGGGAATCGGGCCGGCGCGTTCCCTGGTTGCACAAAATTGGCATTAATACAAAAAAATTTCTGCTTTTTTTGTATTTTTATGAAAATCTAAAACTGTTAACGTTTTAAAATTATTTTTTAAAACAAGTCGAGCCAATTTAGGTCGAGCCAATCAAGTCGAGCCAAAAAATTTAAAAAATTTAGACAAATCCAAAATTTCAAAAAATTGGAATAACCTAAAGCCGAGATAATTTCTATATTTGACCCACCCTTTTTTTGTAATTATTTAAAAGGACAAAACGTCCAGATCTTTGATTTGGTTGGCCCAGGAAACTAATACTAAATTTTGTCTTTCCTTTTTTTCTTTACGAGTCATTCGTGTTCATTCACCAACAAAATTCGACCTTAGGATGTCGTATTTATTTTAAATAAAAATTGGTAGTAGATTCCGTTGTAATTACAGAATGGGGTTAGGGGTGGATCAAATATAACAAACAATTTTTTTTTCCAAAATTTAATATTCTTTAATTTTAGCGTATTAATCAAAAAAATGTTGATGAGAATATCTCAGTGCCTTCAGAATAAATTATTGTGCAATTCTGATATTTTGCAACAAAATTTAAGGAAAGAAAGGGAGAGGGTAATTAAAGTTCAGGGAATTCTTATTTAATTTTAATTTAAATACCAAAAATTTATTTGGGCTTTCAATTGATATTTTTCTTTGTATTTTTCTCCTATCTAATACTTTATTTTTGTCCTATATTTTTGTCCTTTTAATTTATTTTTAAATAAAAGTTGGTAGTTATTTACTATGTTTATTTTTTGGAAAAATAATTTTGAGTTATGATATTAGGAACTGGGCATGGTATAGTTCCGGGAGTTAGCTCCGGAGATAGCTCCTTCCGGAGCCTAAGCTAGGATTTTGAAATGCCCGGAGTCCGCTTGATTAAGGTAACCGTAGTCACATGATGTCAAATATCCACTGACCATGAGTAGGATATTATGACCGAAACTCATTTTTAGTTATCCCCTCTCGATGTTTAAGAATCGGATCTTATAATTTGTATCCTAAATTGTAGATATCCCTTTGATTGCTTCCCTCATCAAATTAAAGAAAAATTATTTTAAATTGTGGAATATCCAGTACATATTGGGTGTATCCAAAAATAATTATTATAAAGACTTAAAGATTTGAATAAACAATTACCTAAAAATTTTTTTCAATTTAAAAAATTTTATTTTTTTAAAACAATTCAAATATAAAATAATGTTTGTTTATCAATAAAAAAATTAAAAATCTAATTAATCTTAAATTTTAATGTTAATTGCGTTTTATTTACTGGCCTTGAACATTTTAATGTTAACAAATAAAATCACGTCTTTTATTTGTTAAATAAATTTAACGCGGAAATATTAATTTTTTTATTTTCTTTATTATTTTATAAATTTTAATTACACTTCTTAATCTAATAATTTTGGAATAAAATTAAAAATAATTTTTAGAAAATGTTACAAATAAATTCACAATTCCTTCTCTTACATTTTAATTTTATTTTGCCAATTATTATTGCGATAATTGGAATATTTGGCAATTTATTAGTTCTTTTAACAATTTTAAGATCAACAAGTCTTCGAAAAGTAATTTTTTAAATAATATTTTTGAGGTCTGGTCAGGGCTACGGGTTTTAATGTTCTTAGACGGATTTTAGATCAACAAGTCTTCCTTGAGTAAAGCTTGTGCTGGGCCAGGATGGTTTTGGGATGTTGGGCGGGTTGTGTGCGATGTTAAGGGTCCCGAGAGGCGATGCCGATGAGTATATTGCGAAGCGGAGGGTAGGCCTTTCTATGCGCTTGTATAATGCTGGTCGGTTACGAGACCGACTTGCCCGGGAATAATATGCGCTGATATAAGCTCTTGGCTTCTTCTGCAGGATTAATGAATAAGCTCTCAGCTTCTTCGGCCGGTTATTCACTTCTCTATTGATTACTTTCCAACTGACTGCTGAACAGTCGACTGATCCGCTTTTCACTATTTTCCACTTAGTTTTATCCTAAGGCCTTATTTGTCATTCTCCTCCCCTTATTCAATCCTTTCCCAAAGGAACTAATGTTCCTTTTCTCCATCCTTGCCCATCCGGATCAAAGTACGCCTTACACTTGGTTGTATTCGTATACTCTTATTTATTTGCTTTCCCCTTTCATTTAGTATCCACACTCCCGCCTTCGGATATATCCACATCTCAAAACTATCAACCCTTCAAAACGGGAGCATGTCAGTGTAACTTTGTTAAAATTGTCGAATCTGGCGCTCTGGTATGGTTCGATTCAGCTGGTCGAGCCGCATCTAACCATACCAGGGTGCCACGGATTCAACAATTTTAAACAAAGTTATAGCGCAGTGGTACATTAGGGTGTACCTATTCAAAACTTGTATTTATAAAGGTGAACTTGAATAAGGGTGTCCATTATTAAAATTGGCGGATTCACACGTTCTGATTGGAAGTTTCGAAGTTAGACGCATCGGGGTCAGAGCTAGACGTACTGAAAAAAATTTTTCCCAGCCGCAATTTTAATTTTAAAATCAGCAGCAGAAGTCCGCAGTTTGCAATCAGCAGTTGCGCCCGCCCTGGTCGGGGTCCACCCTTAGTTTTGGTGCATTATCGAATTTAATTTGCATATCATCTTAACTTCTCAAAATCTACTCAATTCTTGACACCCATATCCTCTGATATCCAAATATTATCTTTGACCAGATCTGATTATTTAAATAAAAATAAATTTAAAAACAATTTTTTCAAAGAATACTCTATTTAATTATTTAATTGTTCTACTTGGTTCCAACTCTTTATTACTTACAAGTGTGGTTATTGGACGTTTTCCTCAAATAAGGAATATTGGCTATTTTGTGTGTTTTGTTAAAGATTATTCCTGGAATTTCCCAATTTATGTTAGTAATTTAACTGTGACTTTTGTGGCTATTGAACAATTTTTGGTTATTTTTTGGCCTGAACGAATGCTTAAGGTATAAAATTAAATGGAGGGGGGAGTGGGGTGTGTTCATGATTGGTTTCAAAATCAAAGAGTTTTGTATTTTTTTGGGGAAAAAAGATTACACTCTACAACCTAAAACGATGTGAATACCGGTGAAAAACATGTGAAAGCATGGGGAAAAAAAGTCTAATTCAGAGACCATTACTAGTGTTGGTGGATCCTGGGACTTTTTCGGATTTGGATATCCAGAACCGCCAACCTTATCTATTACTATAACTAAACATAAAAATTTTAACGAAAGTTAAAATTTTGATATTATCAGCCTCAACTAGTGGAATATGTCGAATCGTAGAAATTTTCCTGATTCGACTTTCATTAGACCTTTTATTCTTAGTTAAAAGTCCTGTTTGTTTAAGCTATAGTAAACAGGTTTACCCGAGGAAATGTGTGATTAAAAAAATTTTCTTCGGAAAATGAAACTGTATTTGATTCCTGAATATTTCTTGAACACCCCCTATTTAGAGAAACTTTAAAAAATTAAAAACAATTTACTTTTCCAGTTTTCCCGTTCTACTCGGTTAATTCCAATTTTATTAATTTTATTATTTTCATTAATTATCAATTTTAATTTATTTTTTGTATTGGAATATAAAAATAACAAAAATAATTTAACAACAAAAATTTCAACAAATAAATGTATTTATAATAATCATTTACCTTTTGCTAAGGTAAAAATTATTGAAAAATAATTTTAAAAATTAATTTTTCTTAAAGCCATTTTTTCTTCTCCCACGCATTATTTTAACTTTTTTAATTCCGTTAATTGTTGTTTTGAGTTGTAATTTTGCAATTATTATGAAAATGAGAAAATTAAATATTTCTCGGGTTAATGAAGGTGAGGAAATAAAATTATTATTTTTTTTGGATTTAATTTTGATTAGAAAATTTTTTTTCCGTAGGAAGAAATATTTTTTCGGTAATTTCCTTAAAAGCGTTCATTTCCAATTTTTTACAAATACACGAGGCTTTTTTGTGATATCCGATTTTTTATATGATTGTTGCGGATATAAAAATTAAAAAAAAAATTTAAGTTTTTCCAGAAACTATGTCAGTATTAGCTGACATTTCACCCAACATCCAACACTTCAAAACAAGCTGTCACTTAAAAAAATTATTAAAATTAATATCCGCAATTTTCATAACAGTGGACTAGTGGAACCTCTCAAACACCTCACCTTTCGGGGCAGATTTTTTTATTTTTTTCACTTCTCGGGGGGGGGGGGGCAGAACTCAGTTTTCCAAAACCTAATTTTAGAGAAACTAAATATGTCTTAGAAAATACCGTAAATTCTCTAAAATAGCCCCCCCCCCTCTCTAAAATAAGCCCCCTCTAGAGGTCAATCGAAAAAAAGCGGATACAGAAAAAAATCTGATCAAGGCCATTTGGGACATGAGAAAATTTTTAATAATTAAAATTAAAAAATTTAAATTTTCAAGCAAAACCCACCAAAAGAGAAAATGGAAACAAAATTTTATTTATTTTAATTCCCTTCTTCTATGTTCTACTAAATTTACCTTATAATTTAAATTTGGCCTTAATTAATTTTTGGAATGAAAATTTTGGTTCTTTAACTATTAATTTAATTGTTTTGTGGATATTTTTCTTAAATTATGCTATTGACTTTGTTATTTATCCGTTGGCTAGGTCTGCTTTTTATCTTGAAAATTTTAAGAAAAAATTATTTTTTTTTAAGTTTACATTTCCGCAATTCTTTCTATCGAATTTGGATTCAGCCGATATTATCTAAAAAACCTTCAAGAATTGTCTCGGCCATTTCTGAGGAATCTGTGAATACAAAAATATGAAAATTTAATTATTTTAATTAATTAACTCTTTAATTAAAAGATATAAAATTTAATTAAAGTAAAGCAGCTGGGCTATAGCTATTTCTCTCCTTAAGCTAGTGCAAAAGATTATTCGGCGGCTGGGAGCGAACCTGCATCTTCAGTAGACCGGACTGATGTGTTAACCATTACACCACGCCGCTTACTGCATAGTCTTAGAAATTAAATAGCTACATGCTTTGCATTAATTATAAAGTCAACCCTCATTTTTGATACTCCCAATCTTTAATTTAGAATGCGACGGTTTAAAATTTAATTGGAAACAGGTTTAGGGTAGCTGTTTACTTTGGAAGCGATATATTCCAATTTAAGATACTCCTCATTATAAATTATGATTTTTTATAGTTCCAAGGGTTTATATAAAAATGAGTGTCTTAAAGAGACCTAACTGGGATGTCGTACGAGAATCAAGATATCGTCTCGGACTGGTCTCTAGTGTTAAGTTTATTAGACTTTCGAGCAATTTTCGATATTAAGACGGGGTTTCCGGGTCAAGAGTCTGGAAGCAGGGTATTTTGATAAAAGCCTGGTTTTAGGGGGTTTAAGGTGTTTTACCTTGGAAACCTCATCCCGAGACAGTTTAAAAAGGATAAACCCACATACCGGGCCCGGAAATTTGAAAAGTCCGAATTCTAGTTAATGCATCTACATAAATAAACTGTCAACAATCCACCTATAATTTTAAATATAATTTTCAATTATTAACATTTTTATATTTTTTAAATAAAAAATTGATTTATTTTGATTATTCATTTTTAATAGGGAAATACCCAAAAATATTTTCTTTATATGAATGGTGCAAAAATATATAATCTAAAAACAAAAAGAGCACAAAAACGGTTTTTTACAATTGAATAATTTTATTTTAAAAATTCTTCCCATTTTTATATTTTTCCCTCAATTTCAGATCGCACCAAATGCTTCCTCTTTTTTAAATAAAAATTTACCTTTTTGTCAGTTTATCTTTCACCATTTTATTTTTTGTAAAGTTTATTGTCTATAAGCAGAATTTAATACCGTAAATGCTCTAACATAAGCCCGCTCTAATAGAAGTCTTTTTCAATATAAGCCCACCCAAGGTGTCCCATCGAAAAATATAAGCCCCCAGTCTCTATATAAGCCCACTAAAATGACCTATTGAAAAATATAAGCCCAGGGCTTATATTAGAGCATTTACGGTAATTAGGATTGTTCCGGAAAAAGTGAGGCAAGGGAGGGAATAGGGACGTTCTTCCATTTTTTCCAGAAGTCACAAATGTTAGGGTAGGTCCGGATACCCGAAAATTTTCAAGTCGGATATCATATCCGAATATCCAGAGATTTCCCAGGATCAGCCAATCTGAGACATGCCAACTGAAAAACAAAAAAGTGTAGCGCTTCGAAAATTTTTTTGGAACTTCCAGACCTCTAAGGACAGGCGTCGAGGAGGATAATACGAGCTGTGAATTTTTTTAATTTTATTTTTTAAATGTCAGCTTATTGTCTACCTACTTACAAGTATTTAACAGAACGTACTAAAAAGAAGATTAAATATTTATTTAAAAAAATAAATTTTGAGGATTGTGACGTTTCTAAAAAAGAGAAAATAAGAGGAGAGAGAGAGAATTTATCCAAATAAAGGCCTTATTCCCAATCCAACCACTACTTACTCCCTCCATTTGCCCCAACAAATGTTAATGCATATATTTATACAGACATTACTCACATTAATTAATTTTTAAGTAAAAAATATTTTTTTTTAATTTTTTAATCAATATTTTATTTATTTTTTTGAAATTCTGGATTGTTTTCTAAATCGCTTATAATGAGATTCCATTAAATAGGAAGGGTATTTATTAGGCTCTGCCTAGTGGCAACCAAATTTTAGGATTATGTTTTAATAAAGTTCGACATTAAAAAAATGCCGGATCTGTTCTCCGGATTTTTATTTTTTCTATTTATTTTTTCTATTTTCTTTTTAATCAATATTTTTATTTATTTTTTTGAACACAGGATTGTTTTATATGAAAATTCGGAAAATCCGCGTTTTTTAGCCCCGGACCCGACCTACCGGATCCAGAAAATCCGGACCCGGTCTGGGTCCTAACTCTACATATTAACCTGAGGAATGATTTTTGGTGTTAATTGAAGAATGTTTATCAATTGTATAAATATAAAGATTTTTATTTGATTTACTTTATTTTAATGAATACAGTTGAACTTCTTCAACATTTCACCTTCTTGCTTATTAAAGTAAACCTCAATATAACTTTAAATTACCACCAAAATTAGTTCTTAATCTAATAAACTTCGGCTCAACGCTGCCCGAGAGAGTTATCTGTGTTAAATAAAATCGACTATATTCCTTCTAATTAGGATTCAGTGGAAGGCTTTCTTTTAATTCCTTAGTAATGAAAATATAAATTGTTTGATAACTTCGTTAATACCGCTAATTATTTTTTTTAATTAAAAAAAAGATTTTCTTTAAATAATAGCATCATAAGATAAATTATTTTTAAAATTTTTATTTTTCAAAACTTTTTTTTAAATACTAAAATTTATTTTACACGCTAAAATTTTTATTACTAAAAATATATTTATTTATTTATTATTCTAAATATTCCAACAAAAATTTCTTTTAAAAATGTTTAAACAAGCAAATAAATGTAACACATAAATAAAATTATTTTTTTTTATTTTGTTAAGTTATACATATTAATTTCTAACAGTCATCATTTTATTATTTTAAATAATATTTTTATTTAATTTTTCGTTAAATAGACTAGCTAAAAATTCAATTTAATGTTTAGTTGGAGGAAATTAATTTTTGTAGTCATTTAAATTAATATTTCTTAAATGCTTAATCTCGAAGTCAATTTGAAACCGAACCGAGGACTTGTTTGGTTCTATTCGGATATGAAAAGATTTTGCAAGACTCGCAATCAGGGCTGCACGCAATTGAAAAAAATTTAGCAACTCGCAATTTCTCTTTAAAAATTCGCACCCGCAACTCGCAATCCGCAATTTCATGTAGCCCTGGCCGCAATACACCTTCATTTAAGATATTTGTTGGGCATTGTAAGGGCAGGAAGTAAATGTAAGGTCTCAAATGTAAGGTACGGAAATCATAACATACATTTCCCGGCTCGACTGTTTATGTTCATTAAACATTTGATAAAAAAGAGCTACCTGGAAAATTAACATAAACATTCTAAATCCGAAATAAAAATATTTTTTAAAAATATTTTCAAAATTCCCAATCAAAACAAGTATTCCACGTGTTCAATATCCTTTTTTATTCCCTTTTCATGTTCGGGCCTTTATTTAAAAATAAATGTAAAATATTCAAAATAACATACACTCTCATTCACCGACTAATCAAAAGTTGTAGCGCCTCAACGTTCCTCCACTCTCCCTCCCTCCACTACCTCCCTCCCTCTCTCAATAATCGTTCTCTCATTCTCCCTATATTCTCTAATTTAATCCCCCTTTCCCCCTCTAATAAAAATTTAAATTATTAAATTTTTCCATTTTTATGTTAATTCTTTATTAGGGAAATAATAAAAAATAAAAACAATCGCTCAAAAATAAACTCCAATCTCTCCCTCTCAAAGTTTCATTACTCCGATTAAAAAGTTTTTTTATCTCACACACTAAAATTCCAAAATTGCCCAAATAAAAATGCCTAAATTTAATTTTTAAATGGGAAGTTTGAAGATCCTTTAGTATACATTTTATTTTATAAATCCAGAAGATTAAGCGCCTCTTGATTAATATATCCATACAATTGAGATTATCTAGGTATAGTGCCAAGCAGAGTTGGGTCGGAATTCCGATTTCCGAAAAAAATTTTTATTTCCGATTTCCGACTTTTGAGCCAGAAGTTTTTTTTCCAATTTCCGGCTCTTCGCCTTCCGACACCTCTGACTGTTCCGACCCACCTGTCGTACTAAGGGGAGAAGGAGAGGTGAATAATATCCTGAAGGGTGTTATATCTTGAAGGTTTTCGGAGATGGGACTTTTCGAAATATTTCCATAGCCAGCTTCGAGGATTGGCAATTATCTGGTCAAAAATCATCAGAAAGTCCTGATTTCTGTAAATCTTTGTTAACTCAGTCTCTAATTATTAGAAATGTGTGAATAATAAGGAATGGACCTTGTCGCGTTTTAAAATGTGGGAGCGGAAAGGTAAAAATTCGAAATTTGCGGAAGGCTGATTTTGAAGAGCCTTCCGCAAATTTTCACTTGCGAATAGAGGTGGGCGGAATTCCGATTTTAGATGTTTTTTCCTTCCGATTTCCGAAAAAAATTTTGATTTCCGATTTCCGAGTTCCGACTTTTGAGCCAGTTCCTACTTCCGGCTCTTCCGATTTCCGACACCTTTGACTGTTCCGACCCACCCTTCCCTAGTCAGTAACTCCTCTACATTATTAAAATACAATTTATAAATTTCATAATTCTATTTACTTTTAAATTCTGATGTAATTTTTTAATTTTTTTAAAGTCTTAAAAGTGCAATAAATCCCTCTCTCTCTTTTTTTCTTATGAAATTACTTAATTACTTTATAAGTCGATTTCTTATCTCCGCGCATGCTTCACGTATGTCTTTCATTCACATCCCCCTCTCATTTCTTCATGCCTTTCCTTTTTTGCCTTTCACCCAGACAATTTATATTCAAGGCAAAAATTCTCGCGCAGCTTCACGTTAATAAATAAAATATTAATTTGCCCTCTTTCCCTTTCATTTTTTATTATTTTTGTTTTCCTCCCCTTTAAACATTTGCGCTATTGGCACATTCCATCAATATATTATTTTCTACTAGTCTCCATCCCTCCCTTCCTTTCATCATTCCCTCCTTTTCACAGTCATTTATATCCTTCTAATAGTATTATTCTCCCCCTTTCTTCCTCTACGTTGGCCGACTCTCGACTCGATGCCTCCATTTAATTAAGGTTTGTGCCCCCCCCCCATCTTTCCTTTTTTTGCCGCTTTGCGCCATCCTGTCATTTACCCTCCAAAAAGCTGTCAGACTCGCTCACTTTCACATAAAACCTTAGAGAAATATCCGGCAGCTTACAACTTTTTTTTCTTCCTTTTTCCATAAATTCCTTTTTAGGATTTTATTCCATTTCCCCTTTTATTTTTAAACAATTGCGCATTGTTTTGGCTTTAAGGCCCTATGGAAAAATAAATTTAATAATAATGAAAATGAAGTCACTCAGAAAAAAAAACAAATAAGAGTTTAATCTAGTGGAAACTAACAAATAATTTATTTATTTTTTGACACATTTTTGGGTGGCAAAATAAAAAAAATATTTTTTAAATAAAAAAAGTAAGGTAAATTAGCCCAGAAAATAGTAAATAGAAGGATTTGATAAGACTTATCTGACCTTACAAAAATAAAAAGTTTCTCTCCAAATTCCTATTTGGAGATGGCGCAAAAAGCGGAAACAGATTCTAATGTTCTGATCTTGCGTTCAGGTTTTCTCTAAATTCCTATCTTCAGTCGCGCAATACTCTCAAAAATGGGAGAATTAAAGGTTCTAAAATTAAAAAGAAATTAATTCCAAATTTTTAAATAAACTCTTTAAATTATTTGAAATTTGTATTTCTATTAGAGAATTATTTTTTTTTATTAGAGAATTATTTTTATTATTAAATAATGTTTTCCGAATACTTTTGAAATATTTTTTCTGGTTAACTTTTGGTTCACTATTTACTGTTATGTCCGGGATCTGTCCGCTATTTGCCAAATTTAACAAACACAAAAATAACAGTTTATCCAAAGTCGAAAGTAACAATGTAGTTGAAGGTGGATTAAGGTTGGATCAGACAAAGGATCTATTGTGTAGTTGTGTCACTATAGTATGTGAATGCGTCAGTTAGTTGGATCACACTAGCGGTCTCCTTCGTCTGTTCCAGCTCTTTCCACCTCCGCCTACATTGTACATTTCTACCTGGATAAACTGTTATTCTTGTGCACGTCGACATAGTAAATCTCGGACAACCCTCGGACATAACAACTTGTCCGAAAATTTCGGTTCGGATATCGGTTCCGGATCCGGATATCCTAAGATTTCCAACTATCCGCCAACCTTAATAACAAGATACGTAACTGACCGGGATAGTATGATCCAATCAGACTAAAACCCTCTTAAGCCTTCAAACCCTTAAGTTTTGAAATTTCAATACTAATACCTACATATGTTTTTAAACAAATTTTTTTAAAAACATACAAAATAGAAAAAAAATTATTAAAAAGGAAAGACAGTCAAACAAAAAAACATTTTCGCGCAAGTCACTAGACATGGCTATAGGTAGCTATGTTGGCAGAGCTGCTTAATGGGAAAGCGCGTGCGTTTTAGATTTTCAATAGTCATTTATGTATATTCATTTAATCAGCTATTAAATTTAAAAAATGAAAGGAGAGAAAAAGAGTAAATGCTTTATGTTTAGAGACTAGTAGTTTTTATGTTAAAAATTAAATTTTATTATGTTTAGAAAATTAAAAAAAACTTTTTTTAATTTTTAAAAATTTCTACGTATTTCTGGCATTTTTCTCTTATTTATAAATATAAAAATTGTTTTAAGGAACCCTCTTTAAGCTAGAAGTTACTTCTTTATTTATATTAATAAAGTCAGACCTGGTCACGGATACTGATTTTGGTATCCGTACCCTGATATTTACTGCGGATACAAACGGATACAAGCGGATATCCTCAGGCATTTTGGTATTATCTGTATTCATATCCGTATCCATGATTAGGTCTGAATAAAGTAAGTTAATTGTCGTACCCCACTGATCTAATCTGTAGAAAACCACTGAGACAGAAAAATTTCTGTCATTAAAGAAAAAAATTTCTGTCATTGATGTGGGTCCGGCTGTATCTCATAGATGATGGGTATTAATCACCTCATCTATAGTTTAGGAACTCAGAGAATCCCGTGATTTTCCTGGATAATTTAATTCTAAAACTTAATTAAGCAACCATTCCAGTTGAACGACCCTCTACACTTTCAGGACCGAAAGACCCTTATAAGTACCTTCCGAAGTACCTTCCTTATTAATTTTTCATCTTAAATTTATTTCTCTCAATTATTTTTGTTTAACAGATGCTGGTTTAACTAAAGAATTTACAAATTCTTCTCTTCATCGTTTTAAAAAACCTGGAAGCAAAAATTATATGGTACACATAAATAATTTTATTTTTGTTAACAGTTAAACCCGATTCTTTTTATTAGATACACCTCAGTTTAAGAAACGTTCTCTAAAGGATACCCTCTATTTAAGACACTCTCATTATAAGGTATCTGTCTCTCAGTTTCAAGGGTATATCTAAAAATGAGGGTTGATTGACCCCTAAATTTAAATAAACGCTCTCTAAAGGATACCCTCTATTTAAGTTAGACCTTATTATAAGGTATCTATCTCTCAGTTTCAAGGGTTATCTAAAAATGAGGGTTGATTGTCTCTACCATTAAAATACATATTTTTTAAAGAATATTTACCCTCCATGTGCAACGTTGCATCTTTCCAATATCCCAAATGGAATGGATGAGGATGCAATTCTCGAAATTTTTAAAGATTTTAAAATTGCTGAGTTTAAATTCTTTCAGTCAGTTTTTTAATAATTTAAATTTAATTAAAAGAATAATTTATCTATTACAATTATTAACGATATTCTTTCCTTAGATATGTTTAAAAATCCCATTAGTTCTGTTAAGGGTTGAATTTTGATTTTTATGCTTTAGATCAGTAACCGATTAAATTATTAACCGATTACCATACATTCTTGATTAAATACTCCCCCTCTCGAATAAGTATTCCTCTTTTAGAATCAGTTTGGAGCTATTTTTCCTACCTTAAAATTCTCCCTTTCTCTCACCCAAAAATTTCAAAATACGACTAAGTACCTTTTTCAATTAATTACCCCTCTTAGCTTTAGGTTTGAAAAATAATTACTCGGGTAATCAAGGACAGTAATTTATTTCTACCCGAATTCCTTATAAAATAATAAATATTAATCCAAAAAATTTTAAAAAATTCAGAAAAGACCATAAAATGGCATTAGTTCAATTAGAAGATGTTGAAACTGCTGTGGCTTTTCTTGTTGCTATGCATGTAAATTTAAATAAAAATAAATTTAAATTATTAAAAAATTTTTTAAGAATTATAAATTGGCCGAAAATGCTCATTTACGTGTTTCCTTTTCTAAAAAAGGAATGAATTGAATTTTGTTTTTTAATTAAAAATTTTATTGGGATAATTAAATGGGGTTTTAATAACTGATTCTGATTTTTTACATTTTATCGGGACAATTCATAGGCGTTTTTAACGACCAATTCTGTCTGATTTTTTCATTTAATAATTTTTAATTTAGCAAGTTCTTTAACATTTTTTTTATTTTTATTTCGAAAATGATTAATTTTGATATGCCGTATATGCTCAGAATAATTACCTGCTCTCTCGAATAATTACCCCCTATTAAATTTGATTAATTAATTAACTATTAATTACACTCTTCCATCTAGAGGTTGAAACAATACATACCCGAGGTAATTATTTCAGCATATACGGAATTTTTTTAGAATTTACTTTGCTAGGGTAACAGAAAAATTTTTTTGAATAATTTTTTATATCTAATCTAATAATATTTTTTATTTTTTTTTATCCCGGTTATTTTTTAAAATTTTTATTGTCATTTTTCTAATATATATTTTTGTCAAAATATTTTTAATAAGCTTTAGAATATTTTTATTGTAATTTTGTGGATACGATAATTGTGGGTGAATCTTTTATTAGGACAATTAAATGGGGGATATTTAATGGGGGTACATTTTAGGGGCATATTTATCGTTCCGTTTCCTCGATTTTATATGGGATTTCCAAAGATTTTCCTAAATTTTCCAAAACTCTTTTAATAGTAATTTATTTAAGAGGGGTTCACCACACTTTATGTTGCGAATAAATTCTCCAAAGTTTTTGGAAAATTTCCAGAAAAAATTTTTTAGAAATTTAATTTTCAATAAATCTACACTATTGTCATTATCCACAATTTTTATTTTTTATTAATTTAACTATAATCATTCCAAATAGTTTGTAATCACAAATTTTTTTTAATTTTTAAAATTAATTCCCACACCAAATTCTAAGTCAAGATAAGTCTTTGCTGTGATATATTTATGTATATAATTAATTAATTAATTAATTTTTATATTTAAAATTTTTTTATTGTCATTTTAGGGGCATACATATACCAAAAAAATAATTTTTTTGTTTTAAATATACCTAGATGACTCTCATTAACACTAAAGGAATGGACTTATATTCACGTTGAAGTGTTATAACAATTGAAGGGTTATATCCAATTAGACTTTTTATAAGAAATCCGGTTCCTCGATTCCAGCAGGCGCCATTAGGTAGTAGAGACCTGGACCGAGGCTGGGTCTGGACCGAGGCCTGGGTTTTTCCTGTACCCAGAGTTCAGGCCTAGGCATCTTTTGACTTTCCTGGGTTTTTTCTTGACTACTATACATGCCCAAGATCCGGCCCAGATAAATAAATCAAATCCAGAACTCAGGAACAGGCCCAGGCTTTTAAAAATCTCGATCTCTAATAGGTAGCTATGTATTATGTAGATAAATTCAGACCACACTATAATAAAACCCCTCAATTTTAAAATTCGTTTTTAAAATCTAAACGGCCATAGGACATGTATTTTATCATAAAAATATACATCTTATTATAAAATAAAATTTTCAGCTCCTAGAGGTCCGACTGTTTTGTAAATTTTTAACTTATCTGGGGGAATTATTATAACATCATTTCCCCATTATTAGTTCAGTATAAGGCAAATATTAACTTCCCCTATTGGACTAATTGAGAGTCATTCTACCTATAATTTCATTCTAAAGATTATTTTATTTTTATTTTAAAAATTGTTATTCTTCGTTTTAGTTTTTGATAGAAAAAATACAAATTATTTTACCAAGAAGACACATATCCTTTATTGTCTATAATTTTTATTTAATATTTAGATTTGCATAGTTAATTAATTTTTTGTAATATGTATTATTAATTATAAATTTATTAAAAATAGTTATAATTCTATAAGTATATTTTTTTAAATAATTTTATATTCAATTGAGGTTTGGAAATTAATTAAAATTTATTAAAGGTAAATAATAGGGAAATTAATGAGTAATAGGTTAAATTAATTAAAGGTAATATTCTTGGCCAAACTTTACAAATGAAATTAATTTATGTAATGAAAATATAAGGTTAATAATTAAAAAGGACAGTCAACTCACATTATAACCCAAATTATTAATAGTTTAACGAGTAATAAATCTGAATACTAAATGTTAAGAATATCGAAAGATGGATGATTTTATTGCTGATAATATCGGATGATTACCATTAATATTAGTTTATCTGTCTGTGGATAGCAGGGTTGGCGGTTCCTGAAAAATCTACGGATATCCGGGCATTTTTCGGTTCCAAATATCCGTAACCCCAGACCTAAGTGGAAATCCAGTCATATCAAAATCGAACCAACAGCCTTAATCGAAAACCCCGAAGTTTCTCAGTTTAATAACCCTCGGAAGGTCGTTGATTTCTTCGATTAACTCTCATTAAATTATCATTCATTATCTCAAAGTTGAGTTATAATCCATTTAAATGTATAGTTTAAAAATTTCCCAGATCATTCCCTCCCATTTTATATCAAGAAAGTTTTTTTTTAATTTAGTTCTTCGCCAATTTCGGATGAAGAGGTGCTTTACACAATCCACTGTCTATTTCACACGTAGAATTTTCATATAATTTGCAATCAGTATCACAAGTACATTTACTTCCTGGATTATATATTGCAATATTGCCATCATAAGCTCTAAAAATTGAAATTTTCTTGAAGGAGGTTTAAAATTTCCCTTACGGATTATAATAATTGCAAGAAACCAAAGTTGTTGTTTTGCATTTATATTCATCTTTACACCATGCTTGTTCTCCACAGATTTGAAAACCGCAAGAAATTTGTGTTGATTGCCATTGCATCATCTAAATAGGCTATTTTTAAAAGAGATCGAAAATTTAGTGTATTTACGGGGACAGTATGTCCACAACCATCCCAAACTGCATCTGTAGCCTTCAGATCATTCGCAGCTATTGGACATACGTCTTTTTCTGCAAACCACATATCAACTGCCGCAATTAAAGCATCAGCTGGAAAAATAATTAGATATACTCTGGCCTAGCTAATAGTGATCGAGATTTTTGAAAAGCCTGGGCCTGTTCCTGGGTTCAGGGTATGATTTATTGACCCGGGCTGGTTCTGGGCCTGTAGTCCAGGAAGAACCCAGGAAGGTCAAAAAATGCCTGGACCTGGACTCTGGGTACAAGAAAAACCCAGGCCTGGGCTCAGGCCCTGCTCTATCTCTACTAGCTATAATATGAACCTAAAAATCGGACTGGGAGGGTCGTCCAAAAATAAGATATCTCGAAAATATTTATCTAGATAACCGAGATTTTTGTCTCGTTTCGAACTATAATAACGCAATACTAGACTAGAGGCACCTCAATTTAAGATAGGTACTAGGGGACAGGGAAAAATTTCTACGGGAAAATTTCGCGGAATCAGAAAATCAAAAAAGTAAAAACAGCTGATCCGGAGAGAAAAAAGGCTTTTTCGATCTGTAGCTGATAACTAAACTTACTAATATTCATTTTATAGCTACTTGCATATAAATTTTCGCCATATAAAGTATCATTAGAATGCTTCATTTCACAACAATTAGCGGTATTTTGTGAAAGTTTTTCCATTGTTACGTTGTAAATCTATTCAAATAAAATATAACTTATTACCAGTAGTTCTCTCTTTCATAAAGAATCGTCCGGGATTCTTTATGAAATACGGGGTTACCAAATTTTGTTTCAATAAAACTCATTTTGGTAAAACTTTTTCTATCAGAAAGGAACATGATCAGGGAGGAAAATGCCAAAACCACTAGATCAGAGTGGAACATGACTTTCAGAATAAACTCCAAAAAACTAACAAATTTATGAAATATTCCCCCAGGCAGAGTTTTGTTCGAAGCATCTGTAACTTCCCCACATGCCAATTTAGATCTGTATTTATTATGGGCATGTAAAACGGCTAAACGAGCTTCATCATTCATACATTCTTCATCCTCAGTTAAAACCGTTTTTAAATCTAAAAAATTTAATTTTTTCTTTCCTTCTCTCACCACTAATTTAAAATACCTGACACGAGAAGTAATAGAAATATTAAATTAAAAATCATTATTTAATTTTTATTGGAAATTTTTGGTTATGAATAAAGTAAAATAAGTTATAGCCAAAAAATATTTTATATGAGTTGCCATTATAATTTAGCTGATATAACAAAAGGAGAAGCACCCAAAAAGTTTTATGACGCATTTCAAAAATCATTCGCATCTCTTCCCAAAATATATTCAAAAAATTAAAAAATAATTTTAAAAAATGCTTAAATGAATGAGAGATATTCTGAGTCACGCAAAAGATCACCATACCAGAGGGAACGCATAAAGATAACCACATTATGGATAAACTAAGTACTTTATGGAACATCTTTAGAGATGAAGAAAAGATGGCCAAGATGTAAAAAAGACCAAGAAGAAAAAACACCCTTAGAGACCAAGAAGTGAACCGATGTTCCGGTTGAAGCAAGCAAACTCGTCTTGCTCTTGATTCAAGATTTTTTTAAAGTTTCGATCTTGTCTTGAGTTGAGCAACTTCGATTTTCGAACATATCCGATTTTGAACAAAGCCAAAGTTCGAAAGTACCTCGGGGTATATCCGCCTTAAGTACTGAAAATCTTCCGTCTTGAACAGCCCTAACTCTAATCTTGATTTTTAGAGAGTATATTCCCAAGATACAAGTTACAATTCCCAATTCCCAAGTTTCCAAGTAGTTATCCAAATTAAGTTTGTTGATCTCTAGGACGGTCTCCATATAAAATACGTCAAAACTTATTTACTTAACTGTATCTATACTCGTTTAACAATCTTTTTTATTTAATATAAGCATTTTAAATTTATTTAAATTTCTAATGTTTAAAATATTTAAAAAATCGTTAGTCATCATTGAAAAGCCGTAGACTTTAAGGAAGTAAAATTCTGTAATATTTTTTAAAAATATGATCTAAAAAATATACATCAAACGGTTGACGCCAAATCTTGGCTCCGCTCTCTTCAACTGTGTGCCACTTTTAAGTTTTTAGTTGTTAAAACGTGAAGTGGCAAAACCCTCTTTACGGTCTCGTCCCGGTCACTCCAATAAAGGCAAAGAAAGGACTGGATACCGGTCCCGTTTGTCTCTACGCTTTCTTTGACTAACCCTACTGTGAATATACAAAATTCAATTCCGCCTTTATAGCAAAACAGTCGAAAATTTTTTTCAATTTTAGATGGCCAAGAATTCCTCCTCTTTTTAGTGCCATAAAAATCAAATTTTTGAAGAAAGAAAAAAAGTTAAAAGAAACTTTAAAATCAGAAGTCAAAAATCGAAATTTCAAAGCAGCTTTGATTATTACTTTATAAATTTTAAACAAGATTTTAATTTAACTTTTTGAAAAAATAAAAACATTCCCTCGTTTATTCTTTCCTCTCCACATTTCTAAATTTATTTTGTTTTCCGATTTTTATTTTTATTATTTAGTTCCCCAACCAGTCATTTGGTTTCCCTTAAACTTAATTCCGCTCTATACGAAGGGAGAAAGAAAATAATGGATAGTGAAAGAGAAATACAGAAAAAATATTCTTCCATTAAAAATTAACAAAAAATAATTAAATATTTGCGTGGATTTTTGATTAAAAAATATTTAAAAAAAAATTAAAAACTTTTTTAATAAATGGAAGCAACAAAAACCCTCATTTTTATGGATCTAGAATCAACCGGACTTTTTGACGATAGCTATTCTGACCCTTTAATTAATCCGGGTCCTCCAAAGGATTTAACACGTCGATTGGAAAATATTATACGTTCAGGTTTAAATTGTTGATATTTTATTTGGAAAAAAATAAAAAAAATTTTTTATGGGAATTTCGTAGGTATACTAAGCCTTTTCTACTTAATTTTTAGCTTTTTGCGTGTTTTGTAATTTTTATTGTTATTGGATTTGAAAAAAATAGTATTTAAAAAAATTTTCCCTTGGTAAATACAAGATAAAATACAAAATTTAAAATTATTTTAACCAAAAAAACAAACTAAAAATTAGAGAAAATTCTGACTATTAGCATAATTAACTGTTTATGAGTTACCTTTTAGGAACTGTCCGCAAAAGCGTTTAATAAAACAGTAAGAAAATGATAAAAAAATATATCCTCGATTTTCCTTAATTTAGAAATTTTTCATTTAAAGATGGACGTCAAAAGCCTCATATAACAGAAATCTCATTAATTTCAATTCCCTCAAAACTTTTTAAAGAAGCTTCAAAACAACTAAATAAAGAATTAAATATTCGAAATAATCAACTTGTTGATTTTTTTATTCCAGTAATTACTAATATACAAACTAGACAAATAAATCCAAAATTAAATTCGACTGAATGGGCAAATTATGAATTGCTTAGAATGAATAAACCGAATGGTTTTTATTTTTATTTTAAAAATTTTTTTAATTTAAATATTCTTTTCTTGTGTTATTAAATAAGGGGTTCTATTCAGTGTCTGGAAGCTTGTACAAAAATTCGTAACCGTACTCGTACCTGTCTACGATGTACGAGTACGAGCAAATCTCAAAGTTCCAAACAATGGTTCTATTGAATTCTTTGAACATAAGAAACCTTACTTTTTCGGAAACTGCACCGTGATTCCTGGGCCCGTAGTATAGGAATTCAGATTCTGGTTAAATGATTAAGAACTGGCTGTTTACCGTTGGTAAAAGACGGCTGTAAGGTTAACCATGACCAAGAGATTATTAAAATTTAAAATAATTTTAATTTTAAAACAGTATTATTTTATCAAGGTTAAATTGAACTCTCGATACTGATTCAGCCAAAATAATTTTAATATTGTATAAACAATGAAAGAAAAAAATATTTTAAATTATATTTATAGATGAAACTTATTTTTAATTATCCCAAAATTTAGGCATACTACTACCTAAATTTAATACTACCCATTTTTTACTTTTATACGGGGAGTTGGGATTATGTTCATCCAAGCGATACCGAAGTTCTCTGATTTTTTCAGCTCCTATCTAAATCCAAGGGGTTTTCGTTAAACATAAGTAATTAATTTATAAATATTTGGAATAGTAATTTGTCTTTCAAGATTTAATTAATTTAAAGTTATTCAACTTCGTAGAGAAGATTTGGAATTAAAAAATACATTTGCGGAGGAATGGCCAGGATTTGTAAGGAAAAAAATTTTTTTGAAATTAAAATTTAATTAAATCGTTTAAAGCATCAAATGCTTTCTATAGCACCTAAACCAGCTTGTTTAATTGCTCATAATGGAATTTGTTTTGATTTTAGACTTCTTATGCATGAACTAATTCAATCAAATTTATTAGAAAAATGGCCAATTCCTGAAGGGGTTTATTAAAAAATATTTTTTTTAAATGGAAGATTATTTTAAATTAATCAGATAAAATTGGGGAAATTTTTAAAGGGATTAATCTGCGTTTGAATTTTTAAAGTTAAAATTCAAATTTCTTCATCACGGGCTTCCAAAAACTGGATGTAAGACACAGAGGCCCATTCACTGGGGTAGTATCAATCCAATAAATAGATATTCCCAATAAATCTCCGGCTCTAGAAAATCAGAAAAATTTAATTTTCCCCACATCTACCCCAACCATGAGTAAACCACAATTTCGGTCTACTTCAAGATATATCCGAAATCTGAACGTTTTCGGAAGCCTTGCACAATTTGCCCACTCACCTTAATATAGGGGAATTGAAGTAATAATTTTTAATTGATGTCACATAAAAATTTTCTCACAAAAAATATTTTTAATTTAATAATTCTAAATCAAAATTTTATTAAAAGGTTTATTTTCTCGATACATTATCCTCCTTGCCAGACATTGAAAATTCTTTTGACAATGAAGTTGAAATTACAACAAGAAATGTTAATTGGAAATATAGTTAATTAATTAATTTAAATAATTTTTAATTTAATTATTTTTAAAGTTATTTCACAAAATGAAGAGGAGGAAGAAGAAAATGAGGAAGAAATTGATAATAATGAAAGAACATCAGTTAATTTTGAAAATTTAATTAGAGCACCGCCAACAGAAGAACAACTTCAAAAAACTCCAGATTTTAACAAAAAACAAAATGAAAAGAAAGAAATAGGGAGGAAAGGGTAAAAAATAATTAAAAAATTAAATGGGATTGGAAGGGATTAAGGAGGGGTTTGGAGGATTAAAGGTACTAGCCCTTGGAGGAGATCGAGTATATTTACTAGGGTAGCACCCAAAGACTTTGGGGGCTTGTTGGCGCCTTCGGAGTTCGGGTCAGGGTTTTTGTCTAAAAATTCGTCGAGGGACGGAGTGCTACCCTAATATTTATTATATAATAGTTGGCGTAACCAGAAAATCTATGTAGTATTTTTAATAAATTAGAACAAAAACCTTCGACGTAACACTAAAGTTACATGATTTTAATATTTAATCGAGTTACTGGAAACTAATTTTTCTATATCCTTTCTATATTATATTTTGAGCTGATCCTTTCAGAAAGTATTTAATCATGATAAAAATAAAATTTTAATCAAAAAATAAATCTTAAGAGCAAAAAGATGCCTTTTTGGAAGTAGTACAAGTGCTAGTAATCAACCAACAACACCCGTTACATTTATGCGTACAGAAAGTTGGAGTCCAGCTAAGCGAAGGAGAATAAATTCACAATATTTTGGGTGGATAAATTAAAATTTTTTAAAATTAAAATTAAGAATTTTAGTCGAAATAGAGAAGGAAATTGGGATTTTAATTCACATCAGGCTAAACGTGAAAGTGTTGGGAGAGGGAAGAGAACACTTTTGGCATTACAAGAACGAGTTTAAAATTTTTTTAGAAATTCCAAAAAATTAAAAAAAAATTTTTCCAGTTTTTTGTCACCGGTTTATTCTCTTCACATAGAGCACAGGGAGACGCTGAAGCTTTGCTTCAATGTTGTTTAGCCTATGGAGAGGATTTTCTTTCGTATATGGATAAACATCGAGCTGCATTTCCGATTGAATCTTTTAGAGAAAATATTAATTATTTTTAGAATTTAATAGAAAAATTTTTAAGAAGCAGCATTTTTGTGATTTGTTTTTAGAGCCTTTTTTAATTTATTAAAACATTGTTATATTTTTTAAAATTATTTTAAAAAATTCTAAAGAGTATTTAATTAGTCCAAGTGAATAACAATTAATAATATAGTTGTTTAAATCCCGAAGTAGAAATCTTCCTTTTACTGCATTATTCTTGTCTGTTCAGCATCATCTTTTTAATCCACCTATTTTTGTTCGACTTTCATCCTTATTTCAGAATTTAGAATTTTTCATAGTTAGGATGATCTATGTACCTAGAGCATTTGAAACGCTTAGGCGAGGGTTAAACGATCTAAACTGGAAAAAGAAAAAGCATTGGTCAATGCCCCGTTAGTTCAGTGGTAGAGCACCTGTATCTGTGTGAGCAAACATTGTCATAGTTCAAATGATGCCCGTTGGCTAAACTTTTTCTAGATTCTTTCCTTAGAACTTTTTTTATATAACCACAGAATTAACTCCTTCCTCAGTTTAGGTTATTCTTCAGTATTCCTCTTACCGTTTTCCAATTTTTACCTTTTTTTTAGAAAGTATCTCTCAATTTCACATCTCAATCAACTTTTATGATCCATAATTTTATGATTAATTTTTAATGTACATAAAACTAAAAAAATCTCTTATCATTAATATGTAATGAAAGTTACATATTTCTTTAAAACATTGAACATATCTATTTTTTTTATTATTTTTTTACTATCAATCAGTACAAATCAATAGACTTAATAGTAAATTAATTATTTTATTACTACATTTATTTATTTTTCTTCAAAATTAAATCTAGAAAAATATGATAAATAATAAAAAAATATTATTTTTTGTTAATAATCAAATAATTAAATTAATTAATAATAATAATTTAAAATTTCAATATAAATATTTTTCAACTACAAATTTAATTAAAAATGAAGTAAAACAAAATTTTAAAGAAAATTCTTCTTTAATTGACTCTTTTGGACGTTTCCATAATTATTTAAGAATTTCAATTGTTGAAAAATGTAATTTACGTTGTAAGTCTTTTAAAAAGATTTTTTCGTATTTAATTAGTGATCGGAGTTAGACGAGATCTCGAACAGAAACTTCGGTTTTTGAAATAATATTTTTTGAGATAACGATCTCGATTCTCGTAAGAGACTCTCCGACTCTACAAGTCAAGTTTCCTGATTCCCCCTGAATTTTTACAAAAATTCTCTCCTACGTCCTGTACGAACCTCCAAGCCTCCAAGTCAAGTCTCCTGATTTCCCCTCTAAATTACCTAATACAAAAATTCTATTCCACGTCCTACAACTGTAAGCATTTACTCATTTTTGGAGTGGAGTTCTTGAAAGATCTACAAAAATGGTAGCTTTTCGAGAACATGTGAAACGAGCGATACTAAAATATTCAGATTTTTCTGATAGAGAGGCCGGCAGCTCTTTATTTCAATCCACACTTTAAAGGCCGCTCTATTAGATTTAGTTAAACTAAAAGAGTTTATAAAGAAAAATTTTGGTATTGCAGATAAATAATCGGATATTGTTTTAGAGTTAAAAGTAAAAGGTAATGAAAAATCAAAAAAATGTAGTTAATGATATTTGTCTTAACTATTTAAATTTTGAAAACTGAGATAATAATGAAGAATGTAAAATATTTAGGTAATAATTAGCGACGGCCATCCACCCCTTCTTTAGTTTTTTAAATAAATTAAATTTAAAGGTAAATATTGTATGCCTGAGGAGGGTGTTAAATTAACACCCTCTTCTGACCAGTTAACCAAGGAAGAAATTATTCGCCTTGCTAAACTATTTGCGTTTGAAGGAGTAAATAAAATAAGATTAACTGGTGGTGAACCAACAATTAGAAAAGGTGTGGATAATTATTAATTAAAAAATTAATTAATTTTATTTGATAGATTTGGTAGAAATTGTTAGTAAGTTATCTTTATTAATTTTTAATTTAAAGTAATATAAGATAATTTAAGAATAGTGTTAAGCATACATATAGCTATTTAATTCCTAAGGCTGTGCAGTAAGCGGCGTGGTGTTAGCTGAAGGAGAGAAATAGTTATGTATAGCCCAGCTCTGCTTTACTATAGAAACCCTTAATTTTTAAAAATGAGTGCTTTAGAAAATCATTGACCCCACCTCACCTCAAGCAAACGAAGGAGTACCGTTAATAACCTATCGCGAACAATTATAATTTTTAAGGGTTCCGATAGTTGACCGGAAACTCTTTAAAAATTCTAAAAAGACTATAAAATTTTGTAAATACATAATATTTTCATTAATAAAGGTGAATTGTCTAAAATTGATGGAATTCAAGAAATAGGTATTACAACAAATGGGATTGTTTTAAATAGAATGATTAAACCTTTAATTGATGCTGGATTGACTAATTTAAATGGTTGGGATATTTGGGATGAATTATAAAAATAATCTAAATATTATTTTAGTTTCGTTAGATTCATTATCTGCTCAAAAATATGCTGAGGTGTTTTAGAATTATTCTTATTTAAAAAGGGGAATTAAAGCAACCCTATAAAGATGCCTCGAAATATAGTAGTTTTCGGGGAAATTATAATTTATATTTTTTCGTGTTAACCCAAAATCACAATTTTTTCCAAAATTTGAGGAAAAATTTATTTTAATTTTATTTTTAATTTTATTTTAAAAATTTAATTTTATTTTTTCCAAATAATATTTTTCCATATATTTTTTTGTACGAGTCTTTTAGGATGAAGAATGAAATAAGACATGAAATCATAGGGATTTTCTATTATATTTGAAAAATTCCCATTTTGTGTGTCCTTTTTCAGGCAAAAAAGGCAGGGTTTATGGGGTAACACTTGATAATTAGCTAATTTAAATGGTATATTAAAACTATTTTCTTTTTTCGGGTTTTATAGGGCTTTGGGGATAACTCCGAAGTTTTGGATAAAAATCCTGTGTTTCTATAAGCTCTTCGCTCTAGCACCTCTCTAATATTTATTTTATAAAGATTACGCGTCGTGACGGTTTTCAAAAAGTTTGGCGTGGATTAATCCTTTCCGAACAATTAATGCCTAAAGGAAAAGTCAAAATAAATTGTGTAGTAATCCGTGGAATAAACGAGAAAGAAGTAATTTCCTTAGTAGAAATTGGAAGAGAATTATCATTTAATATTCGTTTCATTGAATTTATGCCTTTTGCTGGCAATAATTATGAAATGAAGAAATTTGTGTCCTATAGAGAAATGTTAGAAAATATTGGGAAATATTATGGAGTTGAAAATATTGAAAGATTAACTGATGGACCTAATGAAACTAGCAAAGTAAAATTTTAACTTTAAAGAAAATTTTATAGATACAGTCAAACCTCGTTTATATTAAGGTTGTCGGATAGTTGGAAATCCACGAATATCCGGATTCGATATCCGAACCGAAAATTTGAAGTATATCCATCCTTTTTTCGGATTCAGATATTCGGATCCGACAACCTCATTTTTGGATCCGTTCAAAATTAGGTACTGCACTGGGATTTTAAAATTTGTTTGGGTGGCTAAGCATGATTCCCAATTTAATGTACAGAATAAAAGGATGATTTTCTAAAAGATAACACTAATTAACACTAATTATTTCTTATAAGCTCTATGAGGAGGAGGTTCGACTGTATATATTTTTTAGTCATATCAAGTTAAAGGATTTGTTGGCAAATTTGGATTTATTTCTAGTATGAGTGAACATTTTTGTGGGTCAGTTTATATAATTTATAAATGCTATCTAATGTTTAACCAAAGCTCGTCCCAAAATAATTACTCAAAATCATCCCTGATCTAAATCCCAACACAAAAGAACTACTAAACCCTGTACCCCTTCAAAACCTGAGCGTTTGGGGCACAATAAAATATATCTCTAGCTAAGGGTTTGGCGGGTACAGACCAAGTAACGGCGCAAAGCCATAACTTGCTTCAAGATTTCCGAATCTTAACAAATTTAGTATTAAACGATTTCACTCACTGAGCTAAAGAAATTGGTACCAAAATTGATAATGGCCAGAAATTTTCCAGCAGGTTATGGCTTTGCGCTGTCATAGTCCGGGTTTGGCATGTCAATAATTTTAATCAAGTTGTAATATTTTCTTAAAAATATTTTTTTATTAAATAGTGGATGCAATCGTTTAAGAATAACTGCAGATGGCAATTTAAAGGCAATTAATTAATTAATTTTTATATAAATTAAATATTCAATTTATTTTGGGTCTGCTTACATGGCCTTTCCGAAATTTCATTGAGAGATGCTCTCAGAGTAAAATTATTTAAATTAAAAAATATTCCAAAAAATTTTTTTCTGAGTGGGGCAGACAATCAAAAATTATTGGAAATGATTGGAAAAGCAGTTCAAAGAAAAGCGGCAAGACATGCCGGGTTGGAAAAGCTTATTCAAATGGCAGATACACTTCCTGGTTCAAGGCCAATGGTACACATTGGGGGATAAATAATTTTTTTACTTCTTTAAATGGTGTTTATACATATTTAATATTATTATTATTATTTAATTTTTAATCAGTGAATTAATTTCATAAAAAAATAAATTTAAAAATTGTCTTAGCAGTTGTGTATTAGATATGTATAGTGATCGAGATTTTTCAAAAGTCTGGCTCTGTTCCTGGGTTCCATGTTTGATTTATTGACCTGGGCCGGATCCTTGTCCTTTGGTCCATGAAAAACCCAGGCCTTGTTCCAGACCCAGCTCGATCACTAATTATGTAGATATCAATAGGCGCAGGCTTGACGGATTTTTCGAGATTCTATCTCAGAATTCCATTTTTTTAAATTGACGAAAGCGGCAGGATTTTCAGAATTAATTCTGCAAGACTTCACTCCTTTCGACCTTTTGAAAATCCATTCAACAATTAAGTTTAGGATGATAGATTTACTAGACTAAAAAATCTCGAAAAATATATCTCGGTAAATAATCTGTTCGAGATTGTGTCTAGCTCCGATCAAACTTTTCATAAGTTAAACCAAATGTTTTTTAAATTTAATAAAAAATTTTTTGCGATTTTTGTATGGGGTCAGACAATCAAAAATTTAACAAAATTTATCAAAAAATCATTCTTATTAAAAAATCCATAAATTTTTGTTAAATTCTCTCATCAGTTCCACGTTTTTACTCAACATACAAAAAGGATGAAAATATTTTATTTACTCATATTGATGAAAAAAGCGGTGATGCAATAATGGTAGATGTTGGAAGTAAACCTCCAAGCTTTGAAAGAATAGCTATTGCTCGTGCTATAATAAATTTTCCTGTTGGAATTTTGGATAATTTGCTGGAAAATAAAAATAAAAAAGGAGATATTTTTGCTGTAAAATTTAAAAATTAAATATATTTGAGGAGTCCAATGAAGATTTAGATGAAGATTCTTGGTTATAGAGAGTCGAGATTTTTTTGAGATATTTATCTCGAACTTCTTCACGTCCATTCTCTAATTAAAACGTCATCAAAGTCTATGCTTTATGAGAGCCTTTAAGTTGAATAAAGTTATGCCAGAATTAAATTGCCCGGTCATTTTTTGTCACCTTGTACATTCCTTAGAATATTAGAACTAATGATATTATGAAATTGTCCGCGAGGGTTTTACTTCAGTAGTATTCAAAAATTTATGCTAAAATTGCTTTGGTACGCTAATTTTGGAAATTAATAAAAACCCTACGTGATAGAGACCGGACTTTGAGTATAGTAGAGATAATTAAGAATATCTCGATCTATATTCGAGATCTCGTCACGATCCGGTCTTTAATTAAGTCTATACAAAACAAAGCTTCGAAGTGCTCATCTTTAAAGTATTGTGTAAAAAGCCGAAAAATCGACCGAGATTTTTTAATTAAATACGGCTCGGTCCGATTTCTAGTCTAAATCTTCATTGGACTCTTAATAAAGCCAAATAAAATTTTTATTTTACAAAAACTTAAGGTTTCTCGCATTGCCGGAATTCTAGCAGCTAAACAAACTTTCCAATTAATTCCTTTATGCCATCAAATACCTTTAACTTCAATTCGAATATATTTTAAAATTGATCGTTCAAACAATAAAATAATTGTTTTATCTCGCGCAAAAGCTGTAGAAGCTAAAACTGGAGTAGAAATGGAAGCAATGGTCTCTTAATAATTTTTAAAAAAATCTTTAAAAAATTTATTAAAGGTTGGATGTTCTTTGGCAGCGCTAACAATTTATGATATGACAAAATCTGCAAGTCTTGGGATTAAAATTGAAAGTATAGAATTGTTGGGCAAGAAGGGAGGAAAAAGGGATTTTGGACAAACAGAAATTGAAGAAAGCGAAGAAAAAGAATTTAGTTAAAAATGTAATTAAAATAATAATATGTGGTTGTTGTCTAAAATAATGCTGAATAAGGCATATAAAATGATCGAAATGCTTTATGAAATACCGTATTTTCTTTAAGAGACCCCTCAATGTTTATGAGACCCCTCAAATATCCGGGGTCGGCTGTTCAAATAGTTAAAAAATGGCAATGTTTTCTAGTTTTTTCGCTGATTGTTTCAACATTTTATACTTTTCCTCATCATTGACCAATAATTCTTGCTGATAGGCCATTATCTCAACGGACTTGGACTAACAAATAGGTTTAGCGAATCCTGGGAAATCTCCGGATATCTAATACAGAACCGAAAATATATCCAGACTTTCATCCTGAACCCACCTTAACTACATTATAATGCAATAAAAATTCAAACATTTATTTAATAAACACACTTTATACTAATTTTTCAGACATACAGTGGCGGAAATTTAAATAGGGAAAAATGTTTTTAATTTTATTTTCAAAAATTATTCGGGTAATCATTTATATCGGGTCATTATTTTTATATAGTTTTGTAGCTCTATTTATGGGCTATCAGATTACTATTAATCATTAAAAGAAAACTTTACAATTAAGCGGAAAAAAATCATTTATCTATCTTGACTTAAAAAGTGCGCGGAAATTTAAATAGGGAAAATTTTTATATTTAGTTTTTCTATGGAAAATCAATATAGAAAAAATTTGAAAAATTTTCTGTGACCTTCTCTAGAAATATGATGAGGAATGGCAAAAAAATCTGAATTCTACCTTTACTACATCATCGAGATCTCGAGGCCCAAAATCACCGAAAAATGGGGGTGATTTGGAGGTGATCTGATTTTAAAAAATATTTTGGTCCATCTGGCCTAGACAAAATTTTTCTTTCATGTTCAGATTAAAGCCCATTAAATTTGCTACAAAATAGGCTTAATGCCATTCCTTCAAAAAATTTCTTCTTCGAGATGAATACCAAAGATTTTCTATTTGCGAAATTTATGACTGATTTAACACATTTTTCCCTAAATTAAAAGGTTTCAGCCTATATCTCGGAGAAGGAATTTTTTAAAGAAATGGTATAAGACTTATTTTATAGCAAATTTTATGGGCTTCAAACCTATCAAGAAAGAAAATTCTTATCTGTGTCAGATGGGCCAAATAATTTTTTGAGACAAATCACCCCCATTTTCCGTTGATTTTGGTCCTCGAGATCTCGGTGATGGAGCTGAGTTAAAGTTCAGATTTTTTTGCCATTCCTCATCATATTGCTAGATAAGGTCCCAGAAATTTTTTCAGATTTTTTCTAAATTAATTTTCCATAAAAAACTAAATACAAATTATTTTCCCTATTTAAATTTCCGCGCACTTTTTAAGTTGACATAGATAAATGATTTTTTCTCGCTTAAGTGAAAACTTTTCCTTTAATGATTATTAGTCATTTGATAGCTTATAAATAAAGCTACAAAACTATATAAAAGTCATGATCCTGCATTAATGATTAGCCGTATAATTTTTAGAAATAAAATTAAAAATATTTTCCCTATTTAATTTTCCGCCACTGTATATATTACATGAATTAATCATTTAAATCGTCTTTTAATATTTGAAATTAAACAGTTTTAACATTTACTGACTGTATCGGCTGAACTTTAGTTTTCCATGTCTTGCCGATAACGACTCGCAACAATCCCCCAACACTCTTTTGACGGACATCCTCACAAAGTGCAACAAGTAGCCATGGATGTGATAAAGCTCTTAAATCATTCACCCATGGAAGCTGATTCCAAAGTAGTTCAAATACCATATCAATATTTTGGTAATTTCCAAGCAAAGTTGCTAAAGGTTTTCCATCTTTTAACAAGTAGTATAGCAACTAAAATTTAGATTAATGTATAATTTTGTATAGCTGGGTTATTGCTATCGGTAAACTAATAAATACAGTTGATATCAAACACTGTAGATATCGAAGGATGAATTTTGATTCAGAGATATTAATAGACCGTTGGCTGAGGATGGCCGGAGGTCGGAAGGATGAAGCGGATGCCCAGTTTAATACATTCAAACATCAGACTGGAGTTTGCCACTCTGTCCCTCTGGCCAGAGTGACCCAAGTTTACTCTATTAATAGAGGAATATTCTAACCCTCAGCACCCTCTCGTTTAATAGTAGATCCTAACCTTTGTTTAGTAAACTAGCTATGTGGAAACTCCTTCACAATGTTACCTGATATAGTAGAGATGTTGTAAGCATTGCAGTCATTACAGCAGTCATAATTATAAGATTTATTTCTGGTTTAGAAATCCTCCCACTTGCATTATTATTCTTATTTTTAACATTCCCAACTATAGTAATTGGATTTTGTTTTTTAATTTTTTTGACTTTAATAAAAGTTGCCAAATTCAAACAAAAACAAATAATTAAGCAAACAGAATTTAATATTATTGTTATTATAAATATTAATATCCAACTAAAAAATAATTTATAGAAAAGACAGACGAACCTCACTTTCAAATGCTCACAAAAATTTTTACTTGTCTATTTAAGCTCAGGATTAGGGTTGCAGTTTTTGAGTCGGGCCGAAGGTCGAGACATTTTTTCGGGCTTGTTTTTATCGAGTCGGGCCTGTTCTAGTCACTTTCGGGCCTAACTTTATCGAGTCGGGTCGTACGAGTCTTTTTCCGGCCAAATATCTTAGGCCCGACTCGATCTTTCGATCAGAGTAGGGCCATTTTGGCAACCCTACTCAGGATATTAATTTTCAATGGTCTCATTTTAAGCGGCATTTAATAAGGATCATTTTATCGGCATTCTAATAGAGACTCTATTAGGAATGGGTTTCTATTAGAATATTTGCGGTACTTTATTTTAAAAATTAGTTGATTATTTAGTGAGAGAACAGCCTCAGATGAGGTAGCTACCTAAAGGATTAAGCTTAAAGATCTCATAAATTAAGCTTTCTATCTAAAAGTGAGGATTAAGAAAAATTTGCTTACTTCCCACAGATCATAATACAACAAAATTGGTACTTTTTCAATTCCAGGATTATATCTATCTAAAGGTACATACAATCCTCTTGAAAACAATATATGAATTGTTAATGGTAAGGGTACAATATGTGCAAATAAAACATGCCAAATCCACCATTTCTTCCAACGCTTTAATTTTAAAAATATTTTTAAATTAAGAATTACAGATATTCAGATCCTTAGTCGATTTTTACGGTAACATTGATGGATGTCAGTTTTACTGTTTTTATTTTTTTTGAGATGAAAGGGAACAACGTGAACATGAACAGATCAGCTGAGAATTTATCAGTTTTTAGGACCTTATTAAATATAATTCCGACATGTTTGAAAATTAAATAACTTGGGAGATACATTCCAACTATTTTCTAAAATTATTTTCATTTCCATAAATGGTTAACAGTTATGTATGTTATTTCGAGCGTTGTGGAAATGAGAATTTATCTAAAAACTAAGACCGAAAAGCTAAGAACTGATCGGTTCTTTAAGAAGTTACTACTATACTCGAATAAAAATTTAAAAAATCTAACGGTTTGTTGTTTAAAAGGTTCCCATACAGCTGTAAATCTATTTAAACATATCGAAGTATATAAAACATCTTGTTGAAAAGCAGTATAAAAAACTATAAAATCAATTATTCCAATCGAATAACCAGAAGGAAAATAGTCAAAAATAGGGGCAAGTGGATCAAAAACTGGCAAATTATAGAAGAAAAACACCATCAGATAATTTAACAGATTCTTTAAAAAATTTAAAATTACAAAAAATTAGAGAAATTTAAGGCATTTATCCGGACACGTGTTTAAAGCAATTGGATTTTCTTGGTTTTCAAAATTGGTTTCCTTATCTTTTTAGGTCAGAATCTATGCTTAGTGGGTCCAAGCATAGCTCTCTCTATCTTTACAAATATTTGGCTGTGATTCTTCTGATATTTTAAAAATTGATATGAAATCTCGAAAACAGAGGGCTATAACTAAAATTCGTTTAAAAAATTAGCCAAAGGTTCCGACCACTTAAGAAGCACACGCCCAGCTTTATAAAGAAAAAATTCCAATATAAAACTGCCGGAAATTGCCAAAATATTTTTAAATTTACCGAAATTCCAATAATTATAATGAAACGATAAAATGTTCCATTAAACAATTTATCAGTAAACAAAACATAAATTAGTCGAATATACAAGACAATAGTTATCCACTCAAATATTGTATAACCAATGAAAAGATAAGTTTGAACCATCTTACTTCAATTAAATTCTAAAAATAATAAATATAGTAGTTTACAGGGTTCATCCCCGTTCCCCGGGGCAGGGAATTTCCCGGGCAACGGGGGAGGTCTCTCCCCAGAATCCCGACCCCGTCCCCGCGGCTCGAATTTCCCGCATTCCCCGTTCCCCGAACACACCCGTTTCCGTAAACTCAGCCCTTGCCCTGTAATATCGAACCCTAGTATTTACTCAAATTATTACCCTGGGTAATTATTATTTTAATCCCACTCTACGGGGGGTAATTAATAGAGGAGAGGTAATCATTCAAGGTTATAGAAAGTCTAATATAACTATTTTTAAAGGTGTAAATATTCTCTCAACCCCTTGGTTGAAATTCTTTCCCTTAATAGGAGGGGGGGGGGTAAATATTTGAGTAAATACAGAAACTAAATTAAAAAATTAAATATTTAATAAAATAAATTGAATTTTTTTATTTTAGAATTATTCACAGAAACATAAAATTTTCGTTTATTAAATTTATTTATTTTATTAAATTTATACATTTTATTAATTTATTTTTTTATTAAATAAAATTAATTTAAAATAAAAGTTAATAAAAGCAGCTGATTTTCTTTAAATTGTAATTTATTTAATTGGTATATTAGACATTTATTAATGAATAAATTTTCTTAGAAAAAAAATTTCTTAGAAAAAAATTTTTCCAGGTGATTTTTATAAAATTAAGAAGAAAATAATCTCATTAATATGTAAAAAAAGTAAAAAAAATTAATTTAATAATAAATAATTATATAGATCTTTTTTTAATTCTAAGAAATGCTTAATAAATGTTGAAACATATGTCCTTTTTTAAAGACGTTAA